TTGGGCGATTGACTTGCGGTAATCTTTGTAGGGTAGCAGCATCCCTTCTACCCAAAATAGGATACTCTCGATGCACGTGGGTCACCCCCAGTGCACGTGCAAAATACAACAATAAGAGGTGCCAAATTTGTTCCCATTTCAGTAACTCGGTAATTACTGGGGCGATTTCGCTGAAACTTGGCATACAGGTAGGCAACCACCAGGCAATGCATTCCCATGTGTTGCGGTTAGGGTGCTACTGCACGTGCGCACGTGCAGGGGGCGTTTCCAGATCTCGAGAACGGCTGGGCCGATTGCGCTCAAATTTGGTACACGGTTGGGGGCCAGTTAGTAGGGTGCCGTGCAAAAGTCATTTTGGACCCCGTTTGCACGTGCGCACGTGCAGAATGCCGCTTCCAGATCTCAAGAACGGCTGGGCCGATTGCGTTCAAATTTGGCACACCGCTAGCGACCAGTTAGAAGGGTGCTTTGCGCAAGCCCGTTGGAAGCACCCTCTCGCCCTTCCGCACGTGCAGGGCTCACTATCTCGCTCGCTCGTTCTTCGCCCAAAAGGCGTTTTACTGGTTTATATCTCAGTTCAGTCAGTCTCTTTTCGAACTAACAAGCTCTTGGTCTCGCCTAAATAAGAATTTGCAAACAAATAGTGAGGTGTGATTACGAGCGAGCGAGCGCAGCGAGCGAAGCGAGTCTTTTCAATATAACGGAAAAATCTCAGTATGAGCGGCCCGGCCCGGCCCGGCCTGTAACGCTTTTGAGAGGCTTATATCTCAGCAACCGCTAGACCGATTGGCCTGCGGTCTTTTTTGTTGGGTAGCCCCATCCCTTCTACCCCGTAATTGACTACTTTTGATACATTTTAGTGACCGTCTTGGCACGTGCCACGTGAAAAGTCAAGGGTGTTCAACCTGTTTTGCAAAAGTAGTGATTTTGAGAGGCTCATATCTCAGCAGCCGCTTGGGCGATTGACTTGCGGTAATTTTTGTAGGGTAGCAGCATCCCTTCTACCAAAAATAGGATACTCTCGATGCATGTGGGTCACCCCCATTGCACGTGGAAAATACAACAATAAGAGGTGTCAAATTTGTTCCCATTTCAATAACTCGGTAATTACTGGGGCGATTTTGCTGAAACTTGGCATACAGGTAGGCACCCACCAGGCAATGCATTCCCATCGGTTGCGGTCAGGGTACTACTGCACGTGCGCACGTGCAGGGGGCGTTTCAAGATCTCGAGAACGGCTGGGCCGATTGCGCTCAAATTTGGTACACGGTTGGGGACCGGTTAGTAGGGTGCCATGCAAAAGTCAGTTTGGACCCCGTTTGCACGTGCGCACGTGCAGAATGCCGCTTTCAGATCTCAGGAACGGCTGGGCCGATTGCGTTCAAATTTGGCACACCACTAGCGACCGGTTAGAAGGGTGCTTTGCACAAGCCACTTGGAAGTACCCTCTCGCCCTTCCGCACGTGCAGGGCTCACTACCTCGCTCGCTCGTTCTTCGCCCAAAAGGCGTTTTACTGGTTGTAACTCTCTTACTACAAGTAACAATGCAGACAGATAGAGACAATAGTCAACATTGCACGAGACACAAAACTGCGAATCATTCGTAATTAATTCGTAATTAATTTTCTGACATTAGTTAGCAGTCAGTATTCAATAAACGCTGACTAACGCCGACAAGGGCTGCATGGCGTCATTACAGCATACCACCGGACTAATGACCTTTATGTGTTACAGCACGCATGTGAAATGTCAACTAAAATTGGAGCTGATGGCTCCTGACAGACCCGAGTAACAACCATAACTTTCAGAGTGGTGCAACTCTTACATCATCCACATAAGGTCACAGAAGCGGGCTGCTGTGAGAAGCTATTCGTCTCGCTCGGCTTCTGAGTCAATGAAAAAGGAGGGACAATGTCCCAGACATGGAGAGACCAGCCAACGTTTCCGGGCCTCAAAGTGGCTAAAGGTTGGAGGGGGGGGGGGGTCAGCTATGTGATCTGTTTTCATTACTCGTGGTGCGGAACTTTCTTTTTAGCGACTGTATCGGTTAGCGGCCTGTGATCAGAAAAAGTTGTAAGCGCTATACTCTTTGGCAGACATTCCGTGACTAACCGCAATCTGTTGTGTCTATTAACAAAAAATGCATTGATCTAGCTTTACCCAGCATAATAATGTGACTTTCTTGCCAATTTACTCCGAAGACCATACAAACTGCATGGCCACCTTTGTTTCGCTTATGCATGCTCTTTTGTTGGTTGCGTAGGCCATAGGGGCTGGCTAGCCAGGCGTGTTTATAAAGTCAGCTATGCTATGAAGGTATAAACCGATGGCATTTTAGACTGCAGCTCAATAAACAACTTTGTGTCAGTGAGATTGTTCGACTTCTATACGCCAGCTCTTCAAATGGCCAAAAGAGGCCAGCCAGTTTTGGAGAGAGGACAATAGTGCTGCTGTTACGCTGTTGCTTTGTTCAAAACACGTAACAAATGAGGCGCCATTGAACTAGTGGCTTGATCCCTGAAGAAGTGACTCAACCCCACTCACATAACTATCAACCCAATCACGACACGGAAAAGATGGAAACAATAGAGACGCTGCGAGGGTCGTCGTTTCCGCTCTGTTACGGCCGCTGGAAACCTCTCTCGGCTCCACAACTGGCCGGTTTTCGGTGACATTTGAAGACAAATGGGCCGGGGCCGCGGTGTCAGATCACGGCACACGGCACGGCATCACGACATGGCTCGTGACAGGATGAATCCAGCTCCATCCGACGGCTCACTAATATACCTGACACGGTGACGAGGACTCCTAATAGGCAACCATAAGCTGGGCTAATTGAGGCGTGAAATCTGGTGTCAGAAATATAAATCAAATGTATCCGCCGGAAGTGGCATGCATGCCTTGAAATCCAAACTTCTTGTGTGTTTGCGGGGAGAAAAGGCTTGAACGAAATGGCGTTGCCCTCCTGCCTTCGAGAGTGTTCCAACTTCCAAGCCTTCAGAGCCTTTATATATCGGCTTTCATAATTTATCATATGTGATGGATAATGGTCAGGTCGGTCATGTGGTCTCCTATTAAAACCTAGATATGGCCCAAGTTGAGTTTCCCCAAACAAAGGTACATCATTCGAGTCTTTGACTCGTCTGAGAATGACGGATGTGGTATTCGTACCTCTGCGACCATTTTAGCCAAAGTTATTTGCCAATATAGGGTCCCGAATTCGAATGAACTTAGTTACGAATGATATCTAAAAACTGACATTACAGTTTTGCAACATCATAGCACCGACCAGCTACCACGCTAGCGTAAACGTGCCATTTGATTTCAAAAATGTTTAACCGACACCGGCATAAATCCTTCACAAACGGCTCCATCGTGGTCCCGCGGCGTCAAAGCGGTACTACGCTCTCATAAAACGACCGACCGCCGCGCCCTCGTCAAACCAGACGGACGTCGTATCTTCCGTATCTTCGGCGTCGTATCTTTGCCGTCGTATCTTCGGCGTCGCATCGACACTCTGTCGGGCCTTCACCACTTCCTCCGAGACCACCAAACGAGTTATACAGTCTCAGTTGTAACACCCATGACCCATCTCTCACTCACCCCTCACCACATTTAGTAGGAGATAATCAGTCCGTGGTTTCCTTACCGAGACTCGAAATAAACCCGTCAATAATGTATCAAATAACGCCAAACGCCCAGAACAGAGCATCGTCACGGTTCGCCGCTGCGGGCCGCCACCGACACCCACGAATGCCCCGCGGGTATGTAAATTTGGGGGCGCGCTATCGATGAGCGAGAATGTCTCGTCGTTATCCGTGCCGCTTCCACAGCAGCGGTTATTCATCGCGGAGCGCCGCTGATACAGAGACGAATAGGCCGCGCTCGTGGGCGGGACGAAAGAGCGGAGTGGGGAGATACGAGGGCGCTAAAACGGAGCGAGGAGAGACTCGGATGAGAGGAGATATTATGCGTGAGGGCGCGTCCGCAGCGGCGTTGAGTTATGCGAATATCACTGGCCTCAGATAGCGGAGAGAGTTGTGGCCGTCCCTAAATTGACAAAGTTCCTTTCGGGTGTGATGCATGCCGGTTTATCGTTTCATGGGCGTGGAGATTCATCACTACTGAAAGTTACCAGTTAGTCAAGTCTGTTTCATGTTAGGCGGCAGTGGTACTCGTCCGCTTGTTACAGACCACTGAAAACTGTTGAAAGCAGCCCTTTGAGACATAATGCCCGCAAAATTGCAGCACATTGAAGTGATAAGGGCTTCTGTGTATGTAAGTTTGCTCAAATGTGCTGAATAGTTTGCAGTTCCCACGTGCCTTTATTGAAGCCCGACTGGCGATCAGCCATTGCCACCCCACCTACTCAGAGTTGGAGGCACGTGGAGCTACGCCTGTAGTCGACTGCCAGCCGCCGAGAACACTCGACACCGCTATACTTGTCCCCGCTTACATCTACCTGCAGTTGGCCCGACTTCCAGAGAGCACTTACCACCGCGCATTGACGTCAAAACCTGTAAGTAGCCACTGCTTTTTTATCGATCTGGCCTCGTCGGAACACTTTGCAAGCAGATCTGACATAAAAACAGGGGCATGTACATACAATCTGTCTGATATGCTGGCGGAAAGGCTGCTACTATATGTCGCTTATGTTGTGTACTGTTGTAATATCTCATATGACTGATGAAAGTACAATATAATAATGTTCATGTTATATCAAAAGAAAGAGTAGTCGGTATGCGTCTGTGGACATCGTCGGAAAATATTGCAAAGTATAATGTATTCAGGAAAAGGCGCACGAACAGATCCGTTGATAACCAAGTGATGTGCGAAACGCAAAGGCACATAAGCGTTGCATGATGAGTCCTAGCGTTGTGCGGTAGACCCATAACGGGAAACCATTACCCTGTACCTCATTGCGCTTACAGTCAATCGTTTGCTTGCCCACATTTCAAATCCACGTTCCAAGTTCTACCAAACAGCCATCACAGACAGAATCCGCTTAAACATTCATTTATAACAAAAATACAACTGTGATACACATATAACATTCAATTGAAGCCATGCGTAAATTCCTATCGCCGACTTCTGCGTTACATCGTGTTCACTTGTCCAGTGTAAGAACAGTAGTGTTTAATGTGCACGGTTCGTAAATACCACAGTAAACCCATTAGTCACCCGCTGCTACTGTCGGGCAGCCGACACTCGCCCGGTCTGACCACGGTCACGACATTCCTCTGGGGTCATAGGTCACGGCTGTCACCACCGACGGGTCATAGGTCACACCTGTCGCCGCCGACCGGGGGCACTGGATGCATGTTGCCGCGGGCGGGGCGTGACCCGGGTGGCGATATTGAAAATCCGTGCTCAGTACCGTGACGTGATGAGGGCGAGCGAGATCTATTCTATCGGACGTGCGATATGTTTATTGGATGCACAGATAGAACTCTATGTCGTGACCGCTTCCAGGCGATATCCGCAATATGTTACACTTAGCTACCGATCTACCTATCTTAATTATCGTCTGACATGTAATCTAAAACATATAGATGATAGGACAATCTCGTGGTCGTTGATATTTGTGCGATATTCATGCCCGGAAACCTACAAGCTGCCTAATATACATACAGATATTACCATTGCGATTACCGTAGCTAACAAAAGTAATCCAATTTCCTCTACAAATCTAACTTTAAAAATCAAGCAGCGCCCATAGGCCGCAACCAGCGCATCAAGCGCATATCTATTTCATTCAGTATACCCTAGTGACCCAAGCACCCCGTGACCCGGCGTTCTGACATCGCTGAGATGACTGAGACACCGGGCCGGCGCCATCGGTCCGGCTGACGGACTGCGGCGGATGTCTGGCGTCGCGCCGGAAGTGGCCGCCCACCGGAAGTCAACCGCTTCCGGTGCCGGCTCTGTGCAGCCCTCCGCGTTACCAGGGGTTGCCGGAGGCATTCAGTTCGTACGGCTCGTCCCCGGTTCGGCTCCTGCAAGTAATGATAAAATACGCCATGGTTGACGAGGTAAATACAAAACATTTGTTAAAAATAAATCAATAACAAAACATTTTTTAGAATGTCTCAATATTCACCATTGAAAGGAACTTAAAAAGTGCGTAAAATATTGAATAAAATGTTATCGAAAAACAGGTGACTTTCTTTGGCTGCAGCGTCGAAAATTCGTCAACACAGGCCTGGCTCACTTGTACTCGGTGTTGAAGTTGGTCTTGCTGACGGCAGGGTCCGGTCGGACGGCCAGGATTTTCGGATTCTGCGTGGGGCTGGTAGTCCGACTGGGCTTCCAGTACTTGTAGTACCAGTACTCGCCGAGGAGTGTGATACAGGCCAGGGCGATACCCACGAAAATCACAATGAACACACCACCTGCCGGGCAAGGTCAGGTCAGTTCGTGTCAGCACTCATGGAATCCATTGAAAAGGTGTGCAAATGTTCTGGTGATCTTTGTTGTAAATGTGTGATTTAATCGGTATAAATTATAAAAGTCCAAATCATAAACAAAAGGCAACAGCGCAGTCTTACAGAAATCAGAAATAAATGATAAACGTCATCCGCTGTAGCCCTTAGCTGCGTCGAGCTGATCTGACCACGTAATTTATAAACGTTATCCACTACAGCCCTCGGCTGCGCCAGGCTGATCTGACCACATAGTTTATACACGTCATCCGACACAGCCCTTGGCTGCGCCGCTGTCGATGCGACGAATAGCTGCGACGAGTCGGCTCCACATTACAATAAAGACCGTATCAGCGCTGCAGATGGCTGCTTTCCGGCGGCTCGTTTCTCGATTTGGTGCGTGTTTTCTGCGCGCAGTCGCCACAGAGCGGCGAATACGGCTGATAAAATGCAAAGTGACCAGCCTGTGGTTCGCACAAGTGGCAGACGAGTGAGAGGAAATGACGGTATCGGCAGAGCTTCAGCAAAAACGTTGAGCCACCGCGGTCCGATTCAGTTCCCCAAACCATGGGTGAGGGATATGCTTTATATCCCCTTTTACTACATAGTAAGCGTATTTCTTGAAAACGCTGAGCACTTCACGGTGAAACCGCTTGTGTCAGCTGCCGCAGCTTTTTATGAAGCTTAGCGCCCGTCTCAAGCGACCTTGGAATGGAATAAAACTGATTGTATAAGAGCGACGACTTGCTTTTGAAAGACATTTTACTCCGGTCACAATTGGCTTCTGGTTTCGAAATCAGGTTCTCAGCAGTTTCAGTCGTGGTTTCCCATCTGTGTATCTCAATGCTCTTCCAGTGGTTGGTATCTAGACCAAAAGATCATCCAGCGACCGTCATGGTCGACAACATATAGTTCATACACACCAGTCTGTCTTCAGTGACCATAAGTGACCATCGCTCAGTGACTGCCAATGACTACCACTGACTACCAGTAACTCTCAGTAGCACCAGTGACCACCAGTGACTGTCAGTGACTGCCAGTGACCACCGGGCCCCAACAGTAACCCGTCAGTGACGTCCATCCGCCCCACACCCCGTCTGGCCGGCGCGCAATAACGACCGTCCGAGCAGCTCGTTTGCGCCGTGCCCCGGCGGAAAACACTCGCCATTCATCTGCGGGTATGGCCACCGCGATCCCGACTACTCTTTCTTATGGCCGCCAAATATAGATAGATCGTGGCGTATGTCGGCGGCCGGCTGGTCCCCCGGGTGCGGCCGATAGGCCTCAGACATGACGCGACGCTGCCGGCGCTGGCCGCCGCAACAGCTGGGCTATAAGACGGAGCTGCTGAGGGCCTGTGCTTGTCCCCGCCGCTGACGCTGCTGTTTCGAGATGTGTTCGGTGCCACTTGACTCTGCCTATAATCCTACCGGTCTTGCCCAGCTACTGCTACGGATGCTATAGCTAGTACCGTTTCTAGTAACGTTCCTGTTGTTCAGTCCCTATTTGCTGCTACTGTTAATGGTCGCTGAGTGCAACCATCACTCCCTCCACCGACCGCCGCAGGGCCACCGCCAGTGGTAGGCCGATGAGTGGCGGAAGCCGCCCCGGGGACGGAGCCGACTGTGTCTGACACCGCTCTCTGTGATAGACGTACGGCCAGAAAAAGACGGCCATGATTGGGGGTAATGGTGTTTCTGGACATGAAAAAGGCCGGGAAGTGAAACACATTTTTTATGAGGGAGAAGACTATGAGCCTGGTAATGAGTTCTGTAAGAGAACACTGGAGTGTGTTTTCGATCAAACACACACACAAATGCCGCCTGCTTACAAAACAAATAATAAATCAGTATCTGAATTCTCAAAGCTGTCTTAACCCTCGCACGACCAGGCCATTTCTCATAACACGAACGACCAGGGGGGGGGGGGTTGTTACGACCCCCCTGGCGTTTCGAAACGGAAGGTCGTAGAGCTTAGCGGAAAAAACCAACGGATTGCTCTCAACGAGATCTCGCGATTGGTGGTATATTTTTTTGGTCATAGGTCAACATTTGACCTACTTATGACCGGTCAAAGGTCAAATTTTCCGAAAAAATCAAACTTTTTCAACTTTGCGCAACGATTGCGGCAAAACGGTGGGAGATATCGACTTGAAACCTTCACTATCATGTTCCTTGATCAATTCTCTATCGTTTGGTATGTATTTCGTTTCCCTAGCTCTAAAAATGGCGCGTTGGGAGCGCCGGAAGTCGGCAAGGTCACAGTCGGCGGCAGAAATTCGAAAAATCAAAAAATTAAATTTTTGAAATCTGATTGTATTTTTGGATTTGGGAGGTCCATTTGCTCCCTATAGAAGCTAATATTGCTGCATATTCCCATTAAGGTGACAAGAATTAGCAAAATAGTGGTTCGGGCGCTTTTCAAAAATAGTACCGGACGCTGTTCCTCTTGTGACGTCATAGCTCCGTGACCTGACCTGACCCGGTCAATTTTCTTGCACCACACGATAGCCAATGCTTGCCCCAACATGCATGGGAAGTTTCATCATGATCCATCAAACAATGTGGGTATCACCGGCAGAAAACCTAGGGATTCGGCGCACACGTTTGGTAACTGTCGGCCGGAGGCTGTACCTCTTATGTCGTCATAACTCCGTGACCTGACATGACCCGATCAATTTTTTTCGGCAAAAGATGCGCAAAGGTTGCCCCAGAGGGTATTGAAAATTTCAGCCCGCTACGACAAGCCGTTTAGCGTGCACTTCGAAAAAACCTCAGAGGGGGGGGGGGTTGATACAACCCCCCCTAGGCGTTCTAGGGTTAAGTCTACCTATACCTACTCCATAGCGCCAATTTACTTCCGTGCACACAACCAGAGATACACACAGACACACAGACACACATACGCACACAAACATACCGATGTTCTGGATGGAGATACCCTCCGACTGGTCGTCCTCTCGCTCGCAGTACTTGCGCGCGGGGTTCTGGTTCCACCACTTCTCCTTCAGCACCTCCAGCTTACGCTGGTTCAGCAGCTTCAGGATACTGGCAGCAGTAAAGACATCATACGGTCAGCATAGGCGGCACATACATATTTTAGGCAGATGTTGGAAGTGTGGTGCTAGTGTCAGCTATTGGTGCCAATACAATTTTATTGTCCAAGAATATGTTAGCGATCTGTTTACGTTTTGTTTATGAGACCATAAAAGCCGATTACCTTAAAAAACAAGCATCGACATACGCAAGCAGCTATATAACATTTACAAACGCCAGCACACCAGTCGCAGCCTTGCCCTCTCATCGACAGCTGAGGTCCTCCGGCCGAGACCGTGCGGTGCCGTTTTAATTCCCCGATCTGCTCCCGTTCCACGGCGGCGTAAAAACGCCCGGCCCAGATTGGCCTGTCGAATGGCGATGGTATCTGCGGGCCCGCGCTAGCACCGCCGACGGCTCCGGCGGCTACACCGGGGGCTGAGGGCTGCCCGCGGGCTGAGGGCTGACCGCGGGCCGAGAGCCGCTCGGAGGCTGAGAGAAGCTCGCGGGCTGAGGGCTGTCCGCGAGCTAAGGGCCGGGCCGTCCGTGGGCTATAAGCGCTGCCGGTGCGCAGAGGGCTGCCGACGGGCTGAGGCTGAGGTCTACGCCGCATATTTTATGTTGCCGAACCGTGCCCAGATGGCGAGGGTGCGTTGCCCGGATTCATCACAACTGCACTCACAACTGCACCGCTGAAAAGGCAAAGTGATGATGCGGCATGACTGCATGCTAAAAGTGCTGTCAAGTGCAGAGTCAACGAGCAAGTGTGTGTGTTGGTTTTTGCTGACAAGTGCTATAAGTGCACACAACGCGCATACATGCTTGCCAGCTAAGCTTCGTGGTTTGTAACGGCAGTGGTTGCAGACGTTTACAGCTAAAGATTTATTCGGAGTGACATCAATACTTTGATGGGTAACTTATAGTCCCAATGCCAGGAGGCACATCAACTAAAACATCATCATTACAAACACTTAAAACACAACAACAGCACTTCGCAGTTCTCGTCGACTTATTAACACTGTCTTCGGTCTGTGGTAGGTCTATTCACATTCACTTTTCAGCTCAACGTTAGTTTCACAAGTTCTACACGAACAACAATCAACTGTAGTTGTCAACAAAAATCGATAGTAACGCTAATAGACACTACACTTTGCAGTAGTTGACGATCAATGTGCAGGGGATGCAAACATGCACAAATCCAGAAATAACAACCACTTCGAGCCTTCAATGCGTCCTGTGGGGCTCTTCAGGTGTCGTGTGCTCTGAACCGTCCCATTCAGGTTCCGTACATTCACCGGTGCTCGGTCGTCCTGTGAACCATCTCCTTTGATCACCAACATCTCAGGTCTGACGTTCCGTCCCGAGTTTCGCCTGCAGTCTGTGCCGCTCACTCTACCCCCCCCCCCCCCCACTCACGCCTCGTTGAAGATCTCCTTCAGGTGGGACCCCCGCTGCACGGCGATGGCGTACGGTTTGCGGGAGAACTCGTCACCAACCATCTGCAGGTCGCAGCTGGTCATCACTTGGTAGCCGATGTCGGTAGCGTCGCCTGTCCCGGGTGCGGGCGTTATGAGAGGTGCGATATTGTAGCAAAAGTGACTCGGTGCGAGCTCAATGGGACACGGCTTGGCCATTGTGAGTCTCCACCACGCAGAGTCCGGTTTCGTAATTACAGAGTAGGTGATTGTGCGACGCGATAGTGTTAACTAGATTAAGAAAAAAATTGATGTAGCCATTGCTGAAAGCCATCAAGGCACTACGGTGAACCAAGAGCCTCGCAGCTTAATAAGCCGAAAAAACACGCCTCACAGCACTTGGTGAAACGGTAACATGCGGTGAGCGCCGTGCCACTGAAGTCTCTGGAAGTGTGCTGCGTGCCACAAACATCCCCAAACACTCCGGCTTACGCCTCTGACAGTTGGTCCTTCAGAGGGGAGCCCTTCTGCACGGCCAGAGCGTACGGCTTGCGAGAGAACTGGTCACCGACGGAGATGAAGTCACACGAGGTCATGACCCGGTAGTCGACCTGGGTGGCCTCGCCTGGGATCGAGGTCAGCTCGGTGAACACTCAGTGGATCGAGTACAGTTCGGTAGATCTCGAAACCACTCATGCGTACAGGTAGTTACATTTCATTCAAAGTGCTGCTCTGATCTATGGGCCCAGTTTCGTTTGGGTTGATTTGGTACGTCGTCGTTCGTAAAATCCCAATCCGACGAATCACGGCTACCGATGCGGGCATTCTGAACACCGAACGACAGGACTGGTGTGTAAAACTGCTCCAGCGGGGAGCAGATATCAGGGCTGGTGCAATATCTGCATGGGAACGGACGGACCACAGTCGCGGTTGATGCCGCCACAGCTCCACATATGAGAGTCAATACCACACGGGTTGGATTGATGCACACGGATTGTGGGTGACGGGCGTGACCTTTGTACCGTCACGTGGGCAGAAGAGAAACAATCATCATCGACGAAACTGCTTATATTGCAGATAATGGCTGACAGGCATAGTTCATTTATCGTGCACGAACCATAACATTTATTAATAGAGCTGTTATGTGCTGTAGCACTAAAAAAAGTAAATTAAAATTTGGAAATGTGTTTAAACTTCACCAGACTTGCTTTGTTCACCTTTTATCTAACCCTACTGCCAGCGTGCATCGCTAGACCCTATTCCTTCCCTCTGCCTCTTTCTTTTTCTTGTTTTCTCTCTCTCTCTCTCCCTCTCCCTCTCTCTTTCTCTCTCTCTCTCTCCCTCCCTCCATTCCGCCTTACCGAGGTAGGCGAATCCTTCGCTGCTGGAGGGACTGGCCAGTACCCGCTCGACGGCCTCGTCGAAGGAGGTGGGCAGTCCGGCCTCCTGCATGGCCCCCCACATCTTGGTGTAGCGATCGCTGACCGGGTAGTCCCAGACGGCCAGCTTGGCCCGCTCCACCTCCGTCATGCTGTCGTTCAAAGACATGTCCTTCCAGATCCTGCAGGCGTGAGTGTGCGGGAGAGGGTCAGCACGTGATTGACCACTTCGTAATCGAACGGCGAGGAGTTTTTTAGATCCTATAGTGAATTGTTACGTGGTGCGATACAATCAAGATACAATGGCTGAGAGCAGTGTCTAAAAGGCAGCTACTGCTTGGGGCAGCGCGGCCTCTGGTATCTAGCCTGGGTACTTAGTAGAATATACCAATGATTCCGAGAGATATATTGAAATGCAGATACGAGGTCTCAAATCTAATTAGACATTCTAGCTACTGCAGGAAATTTATTGCGTGTCGTAGTACAGGGAATACACAATTTTCTGATCAGCAAAAGCTTCTTGCATGGCACGGTGATAGTAAGAAATGCGAGATAGGAACACATTTATTTGAAATATTTTCAATAAAACTTGCATGCATTGCTGATCAATCATTATCGGTGCCCAGTTTTTTTTTTTTTGAAAGGCGATGGTGTAGAACCGGAAAAAATTATTTCTGTGACTTGTGACGGTATGTTCCCAGAATCAATATCGCCGGCAGCTTGCCTGATTGAGTCACCTGACAGATCTTACCAGATGCGTTAAACGACACACTGCGCGGCACGGATTACGTAACCCGGCGTATGATCGCCAGTCGCACCACAGCGCAGCCAGCAGAGCTCTCGGTCGTGTTTATTTGACAGGAGCCGCTCTAACTAACCGGCGCCACTCGACGCTTCAGATCAATGCTAAATAACAGCGCGTCGGCTTTTCGGCACACCGCCGAACCGCATTACCATAATTGATCTTCTCAACTTGCCTATCAGCCGACCTGCTTTGCATCGGTGCGGTGTTTTCCCCAGTTAATCACAGCAGCGGTGCCTAGCAGGGGCGATGTCATTTTACAGCATTCACATCCTCTTCATAACCTGCCAAATCTAGAATAATGACTCGCACGCCTCCCCGCTGGGATAAAGCCAAGTTTTCGAGTCGGCCTCTTGGCAATCACTATGGTGTTGCAGCCTTTCACGGCCGCCAAAGGCAGAACAGCAGGCGTCAGCGAGGGCGTTTTTATGCGTCGCCGTATTGATTGCAGCGGGGATGATGGAAATAGAATAGACGAACGGACTGATCAGCTGTGCGATATAGGCGATGTGCCGGAATTTATGGCCAGCACTGACACTGGGATTTCAGTTCCAAGGTTAGGCAAATGAGTGTATCGGTTAGTATTGAACTCATTTGTTATCTACGACGGCTAATGCATATTTCATAAAATTTCTTGTGAGTATACCGTAAGTAAAGATTTGAGTGATAAAATAGTGTTTTGGAGTTTATTAACGTCTTCAATTCCATCGATGATGCAACAAAGTCATTTATATCTTTATTTTCTGCAGTCCTATAGCGATCTTCATATTTGTAAAGGAGTTGGTTGCGTTACAGGCGACCTATCTAACCACGGCTGACTATGTATAGTGGCTCTGCTTTCTGTCCGCTGACCGCTACTGAGAACAGAGAACATCACAGCTCTGATGGCCTCCTTTCCCGAGCCACAAGACTGTATCATTTTCGCCTGCGGCCGTGAGGCGACTCTGGAGTCCGAACCTCAGACACAACGCTTAGTGCGATGGCATATCCTAAAATAGCCAGCGCGCTAGACACCCACGGAACGTTACGTAAAGCTTCGCAGCCCACCACTAGCCCGGATTACTTACTCGTAAAACTTTTGCTCGATGTAGGCCATCCGCTTGAAGTAGTTCATGGTTGACGTGCCGTTCATGGGCGCATACTGCACCTTGTACTGCTTGGCCAGGCCCTCGAGTGACTCGATCGGGGAGTCAAGTCGAGACACTGCGGGAAGGGGGAGGGTCGTCAGTGCGAGTCCATTAGTGAAACTAGGGTGAAGAAAAGAAGGAGGGTCCAGGTGAGACACTGGGGTGAAAGGAGCTTTCATCCATGACATAGTGACAGGCGGTCGGGACACTGGGGAGTGGGGGTCACCAGTGAAAGTCCTTGGGGTAGACGCTGGAGAAGGAGAGAGGCCATCAGCGAGAGTCCCGTCACAATGCTGCAAGGAAGAAGGAGATCAGACGTTACGTCAGTGAGGCCCAGTGCCAAATCAAGAAAGGACATAAGATAGATATAAGTCACTAATGTTCCCATCGAAATGCTGGTTAAGATATAATTATCTTAGGAGTAATGGATTTTTACCTTTGAATTGAAAGCACGCACGCTCCGAAATATATAAAGTTAAATGATCAGGCGCAACCGACGCTCCGAATGTCGCCCTAATTGTGTTGAGAGCTTGGCGGCATCTCTAAAAGGTCAAACGCCCAACTTAGGGATTTTCGCCACTGCACTACAATCAGAAGCCATGAGATAGCATTTCCGTGCCACTGCTCGGCTTATTTCATCTCGCAACGCATTATATTGCTTTCCAACGCGACTGATCTGAAATGTCTTAATTACAGTATCTGATGATAAGATATTACCAATCAACGGATTACAGATGAGGTCGCGATTTGATTGATGGAGCCATCAAACTATACGCGCTCCCAAGCCAAATGAAATTTCGAGTCTCTCCATCAAGTTTGCCATAGCCCAACGCTTTACTAGGTCCCAGCTGTAGTCGTTCAGCGGTGAGCAATACCCACAATCGTTTTTAGGCACCGCTAACTAATATTTAGAGGGGTAGGTATTTACACGGTGTATTATAAAACAACGACAATGATTTGCATTCAGTTAATCCATTTATGAAAGACCTATGAACATAGATCATGGTTGTGATACGTCTTCCCTGATTTTGTGAATACATGTTATTAGATAGAATTTACTTTTGTCTTTTAGTCCTGCGCTTCAAATCCTTACTTTTAGGTGGGCTCTTTACTATCGTGGCACTTTCTTTTTCATGCATTCACTGCTGTTTACCTGTGAGGAAGGCGGCTAGGTTGGCGGTGTATGAAGCGATGATGATGAAGCCGAACAGCCACCAGGTAGCCGCTACCAGACGTCCGGACATGTTCTTGGGCGCTTCGCCACCACCCTGCGGGTCGGAAACAGCACTGACGTGTTAGCGACGTCAGTGGGGGACAGATGGTGACGTCAACGGAGGACACACCAGTGGGTACTGGGTAGCAAAGTCACTCCTTTGTCATCTACCCAGAGCACAAAAGGAAGCTACAACACCTCCACAAATTTGATGGAGCAGCACAGACGATTGACGAAAGACTGCGGAAGGAAATTGGCAAGGGGATAAGAGGGAGAGGGAGAGGGAGAGGGAGAGACAGAGACAGAAAGGGAGAAGGGGGATAGGAGAGAGGGAAAGGAAGAGGGAGAGGGAGAGGGAGAGACAGAAAGGGAGAAAGGGAGGGATAGGAGAGAGGAAAAGGAAGAGGGAGAGGGAGAGGGAGAGGGAGAGGGAGAGGGAGAGGGAGAGGGAGAGGGAGAGGGAGAGGGAGAGGGAGAGGGAGAGGGAGAGGTAGAGGGAGAGGGAGAGGAAGAGGGAGGGTGAGAGGAGAGAGGAGAGGAAAAGGAAAGAAAGAAATTCCTAGCCGCATGCGGCGAGCAGAGGCTGAGGTTTTTTTAATTCCGATATCATGTTTAACATTTCCACAACACCGTTACCAATTATGACGGTGACGTTGCCACGCCGGATCGCTCTTTAACACAAAACGACGGCTGCTGGACTTCTTGATAGCAGAATGCTCTGGAACTCACTTGATTGAATTCATTACATAGTTTCACAAAAGCGCAAGGCTCAGCGAGAAGGTTGAGTTGAGTCTATGGCATCACTTCATTACAGTTAAATTTTCCATTTCCGTGAGGAAGCGGGTGATTCATCTGCAGGCTCAGTCATTTATAAAACCTGATTTTACCGACTTTTAATGGCGCTCAAAATCAAAGAAATGAAAAAAAAAAACATGCGACATGAGATTATAGCATGTTTGCAGCCTAAAACCACCATGAATTGCCAGGCTATAAGTGTCGGCTCTGGATTGCAAAAAAATGCGCTTTTTTGTGGGGGGGGGGGGGGGTAGAAGCGTGTCGACTGGTCACGTGGACGTTGCGCCTGGAGCGTGCAAGGGGCTGGGAAGGCAAAAATAAGCTTAGTTAGAAACGCACCGGACACATCAACTGGCTTTAGATGAACAGTCATAGGAGGACGTGAATCGGCACAATATATGCGGTCAAACCGGAGAGGACAGAACGAAAAGAGCGTCGAATGATCAGCAGGATATCAATCGGAAGTTAGGGAGAAGTCGTTAAGGCACCGATTAATCAGAGATAGGTGGATAGAATACGGCGGTCTGGGCACTTTTCTCATGTTAGTCGCTCCCAGCGCAAGCTCTCTTTCATCTCCCTTCTTTCATCTCCCCTCCCTGTTATCGTTCTTTCCTCTCATTCGCCGGATGTGTCCAGTATCGCCACGTTAAAAGCCCATCCGGCAGGCACTGGGGCTCGGCTGCGCTCCCGTCCCTCCCCCTCTCCGCAGGACGTCTCAGATAATGTCCTCGAGCCACGCACAATGCGCGCATGAGTTCCCTAGATCTCCGACCGGCCGTGATCACGCACATATCGCTCCCGTCCTCGGCTCTCCACCGCCGCTCTCGACGGTCCGACCCCCCATGAACCCCCCCCCCCCGTCGTCCGTCGCTATCGGCGATCTGGTGTTGTCTGCGAGATCGGCCTGCTCGGCTGGACACGGTGCACTCGGGCGCTCACTCCAAGACCAAATGAGCCGAGACGGCAGGCGCGCTGCTTTTTCGAGTGTGCAACATCGTATGCGGGTATTTGGCGCATACGATCGGTGTTCGGAAGCTCGGGGTCCATTGAAGATGCTGCTATGTTTAAATAATAACATGTGATAAATATCTTATTTATAGCATACCATAATTGCTCTCATTCGATAAATATGGTAACCAAATCCGATTTGGTAGCGTGAAAAACGCCGTTGATTGTCACTCGTGCTGGAAACAAATGTAACTACTGGGCGTTCAGCCAATGAGATACGTTATTTCATTTTTTTCTTTTGCCGTCGGGTAAACACTCCGCTCTCTAGAATGGCAGATAAATGCCATCGTTTAGCGATGCTTTGGGTTCCCACCGTCCTCGACTGGGTACTTGTCACCTGATCGTTTGTGCCGTCGAAAGACCTCTAATAATGCTAGCTTACCAGCTGCATGCAGGTATATGCCCGTCACATATAGTCATATATTGTAATACAATATTCAACACGAGTGTATGTTCCATGTCCAAGTCAGGTATTTACTACATACATGCAGCCTACAGGCCACTGGAGAATGAGAATAATTGAGACGAGAGAAACTGCACTATCAGTCCTACCAGTCACAAAAGCCGAGCGTTACGCCATCTCTTCAGAGAATTTCGGGCTCTGAATCGCCACCGAGGTCCGCTTATCCTGGCACGTTCCATTGGGGTATATCCTTTAGTCCGGCACCGACCATCAACCCACCATGGCCTGACGATTGGTGATTATTTCATAGTGGTCTGCTGCCGAATGATAACCGACCTCAGGCCGGTGAGCTTCTGTGAAATGGCAACGGCACTCAGCAGCACGCCGGGCAGGATGAATAATTCCAGCACCTCGACCTCTTCTAGGAGAGCGCTGTCGGCCTGTGCTCCAATGACAATCACATAAATATCACTCAGGCTGACTGCTGGTCATGGGTTAGCAGCCGGCAGTGGCTGGTCATCTGCGGAACTCCTCCACAGGTTGCGCTGTAAAGGAGCCATGCTGCGACCCCCGGACCTGTGCCGTGTCTGCTCAGGGCGCTGTCCTCCCCGCCCATGTTCGGCCCGGCCCGCCCAGTAGCTGACATGGCCCGACACGCTGCTGCCGCCCGCGGCTCGCATCTCCCTGATTAGGGGTGGCCACGACGGTGGGCGGGTGCTGACAGGGCAGCCAGGCGCTGATGAATTGACGCTAAAACGGAGTGGGGCGGGGAGAGCAGCCCCTGTTCTACAAGGGTCACCGATGTCGCCACGAGGCCCAGGTCGGGTTCTGCGCCAGACGGTTTTCACCTAATGCCTCGCGGTGTCGAGCGGTTGTCGACAGCGAGTGACCGGCCGAACCCCGCAGACTAGCGGTATACCGTTACCGGGGGTGTAGTGGCGCTTTGTCTGATTAGCCGCTATGTGTCGCCGCACCGGTGCCCGCCCCATGTAAGCGACGCCAGCTATTAGTGGGGGCGGGAGACCACAGAGGTCAGCACTCAGGCCGAGTGAGAGATGGGCGCGGGGAAGGGGTCGTTGAGGGGGACGGGAGACAGAGACAGAGACAGAGACAGATACAGACAGAGACACACAGAGACAGAGACAAGGACAGACAGAGACATGAGACAACGACAGACAGAGCCAGAGAGCCAGAGAGCCAGAGAGACAGAGACAGAGACGAAGAAGGAGAGTCGGAGACAGAGGCAGGGACGGACGGAGACGGAGACAGAGACGGAAACGGAGACGAGGGAGGGAGACGGATTTACATGGCAGGGCTGAGGTAGCCACCGGCTGTGGTTGTGGCTGACGCAGGATGACGCATTGCTTCACTTTGCTAAAACCATGACTCACAAAGGGGTTCATTAGGATACGCATAGTTAGGATGGCGGAGCTATGTTAGCATGGCTACTTTATGGTTGGAGGAGTGCTTGCATACGCAAGAGAACCGGAGCTCGAATCTTATTATGATAATGGTGTGGATAGACCATGCGTGTTTGTAATAGCCAGCGGCCTATTGACGAAGAATCAAAAAGCATAATAAACAGGTGAACCTAAAACTAACATTTGCTGCACAGTAACTGCAATCAAGTCAAACAGCTATCAACCAGGCCTATTACTAGACCAAGCGCAACTTTTCTCAACATTCACTTTGTGTAATAACCAGTACCTTAGTCCGTGCGTTACCAGCTCGCTTTAGGAACGGCGAAGAATGCGTGGGCATTGGGCGTGGGCACTAGCCTCATGCTTGGCCTATGGTTGTCAACACAGCCTTTTCAGTTACGTAACGTTCTGGGGATCCACGTTTGGCTCACAGTTGAACATTAACCCGCGCCCCGTTGGGCTCTGCCGAGCAACGCGCCCGGCTGGGGGGCCATTTTGGCCCCCCCTAAGATCTCGAGAACCACGCAACATAGCGACAAGCGGTAAACGGCGTTGGATAGCCCCAACGAGGAACTACCTTGTGACCCAATGTTATTGACCTAGGTCAAACCGATGACGTCACAGGTCAGGTCAAAGGTCCAATTTTCACCGTTTACAGGCACTTCAAGAAATGCGTTGTAAAATCGAGTAAAATGCATGTCATTGAAAATCATCGATGGGGAAATGTTCTTCAAACACATATTTTGCTATTTGAGCTCACTGATACCAGGTCAGGTCACAGAGGTCAGGTCACGGGGGGGTCACAATATGAAAGTGTCGTGTGATACATGTTTTATGGTCCATTTTACATGACAAATGCGATTATATGGGTTAGGCAGCCTTTGGGGCCAGCTTAGATCACGTTTTGGTTAAGGTCAGGTCAAGGTCAGGTCAAGGTCAGGTCAAATTAGGTCAAATTTCAAAGTTAATATTTTTGCATAAAGTGGGTATCGAATCGATGCAGCTCGTCACGGGGAGTTCAATGGTGGTCTTTGTTTTGCCGTACGTGGTCTAGAATTGCTAAAAATTGAGATCAAAAATTTGACGTCATCATTTTTGAACAGTTTTTTCGCTATAACTTGGCCAAAAAACGAGATATCGATCTGAAATTTGGTATGTATATAGAAGAGCGCTGAGAATATCACATATATTCCGGTTTTTCCGAAATTCGGAAAATTTTGGATTTTTTCAAAGTTTTTCTAAAAAAATCAATTTTTTGATTTTTTTTTGTCAAAAACCAAAAATTTTGAAAATCCGAGATGGCAGTTTTGTAGCGCCGCTTTTTGTCTACTAGACCATATAAAGAACTTTGAAATTGCTTGATAACTGTAGATTTGGTGAGCGTTTCAAGATTGCATGTTTTTTGCTCATTTCTGCTCGAACATGACCTCAGTTTGACCTCAATAACTCCTGACCTAAGGTGACCTAAGACTTGAAATTTGGTGTGAAGGTGTCAAATTGATGCCCGGAAAGGTACTGAAAATTTGGCGGCGTTGCGCGCCGCCGTTTTCTTGCTATTCAGGAAAAACCACAGGGGGGGGCCAAAATGGCCCCCCCCCCAACGGGGCGAGGGTTAAGACGGGTGGAGTCAAGGTACTTGACGTTCATATAGAATCGATGCTTTTCATGAATGAAAATAAGCAATTTGTGTCGATGTGGCAAAAGGGCATAAATGTTTTTGAGTGACAAGAGTTGACTTCTGAAAATGCCTTCTCACATCTCAAATCAGTCGCATCTCAGTCATGCGTTTGCTCAAACACGTCTTATTCTTATTAATTCTTCAATATCAGTTATTTTTTATGTTTAAGTCATTCTTATCCATCCGCTCTTTAACAAAAATATTTGACCTTACAGCAGCCATCCGCATGAAATGCATACGCATACGCATGAAATCAAATAGATATTTTCGATAACCTCAAATATCACTGCATCTGCTACCCAAAGAGTAAAAAGCTGCTAGAGAAAGCCATCTGCTCAGTGTAACAATGTCACGTTATGTTCTACGTGAAATCATCTGCAAACCGCCCTAGCTGCCCCCAAGAGCTATCCTCTGACGTCATGAACGTGTGAGCCAATCAGCATGATGAATTTGGACTGTAAATGTGCCCGGGGCACCGGGGCAGCAGCTGCGGCGGCCCGAGGAGCCAAACAGGCCCCCGAGGTGCCATTCAGGGGCGGACAACTGAATGGAGCACCGACAATGGTACACCGTACGGCACTCGGCAATGCGACCAAGCATGACAGAGTGAGGTTTAGCAACAACATCCGGGGTAAAAAAATAACGCCGCTTTGAGCATTGCTTATTCCCGGCAATAATCCGATGATCACATAAAGCTGCGAGTCTGGGAAAATAAAATATTTGAAATGGTTATATAGGGGATGTTTGGCTGTGATGTTCCATTTCGGAATTCGCCAACAAATGGCGGCTGAGACGCTCGTATCGGAGGCGCCCGTATTTGGGCCGAGCGCAGTGGGGCGGCCTGAGAGGCGGCGCGCTCGCATCGGGGCGGTGTCGGCCCGCGTGATCCTGTTACCCTTCTCTATCGTCCTGACGAGCTCAAATCAGCGCCGCTAAAAGTTTCCGAGAGAAGTCGAGCCGAAAATTAGTCCAAGTGGCTGATCGTTGGCGCTAAGGAGGCGCGGGCCGAGTGGAAACACGCCAACAAATTGCCGACGGCGACGACTCGGTAATCAGAGCTGAGCCCCAACGAGAGGAGAGGGATGGGAGAACTGGCACTAGACGAGGATCGTCGGCGTCCTAACTCAAACGACAAGCAAGCTAGATAGCAAACACGACAAAGAAACACGCATTAGGGAGCAGTTTTCCTCTTAAATTGGACGGCAATGATTGTTTGATTTCTATGTATCGAACTTTGCCAGTCTAATTTTGGTAAAACAATGCCAACCATATTGGGTATGAGCTATATACACAGCTCTGAGTCTGGACTGTGCATGGACACTCATAAAAAATCTCCAGTGGCTTAATCACTCTCTCACTGGGCTTCAGATAACGGGCAGCTATAATACACTGCGTGCACCACAGCTCTCCATGTAATATTTGATGTCTGCAAGCTCAGCATCCCTTAGGCACCTTTCCCTACAGATATGTGATAGTTGAACATCCTCACCTCCCTGTAGACATTCTTGTGATTGCGTAGTTATCCACGGTCATCTTTAACTACAGAACAGGAATGCACCAGCCATTGCTATTTACTGTAACCCCGCAGCTCTTCACTGCTGGGGTGTATCAAGTACCCACGCTCCCGTCGAGCACCTATACCCGACCACGGCGGTGGCGGAGTCATCATTAGCGCTGGCCAGCGCGGCTCCGCGGTGTCCGCACCGTCGACGGACGCCACGGTAGGCGGCAATCTATCGCGGCAGCAGCGACAGCCCGCCGTATTTACATAGGCAAACACAATAGAGGCCCTCGCATGCTTCACGCACAATGAGGCCCAGTGAAAACAGACAGCGCCGCGCCGCTGTGGGCCGCATACCGCCGACGACCCGCGACGGGGCGTAATGACGTGGTGACTGTGGTGGGCTTCATCGATACCATTGGTACTGAGAACCGTGTCAATGCAAACAACGAGTTAGCTGGTTGGTGTACTTATGTCACCGATCAAAAGTTGACAAGTTTTTCTTTTTACATAAAATATTTTCGTTTTTGTATTTTTAGTTAATATTTATGAAAGCTTGTTATGACAGTGTACAAGTTCGATAGATAATGCAGGCCTTGGAGCATCAATCTATCTATAAGAAACCTTTACGAAGCACCCCGTCCTGTGACTGCTTTCAGTTGCAAATAATTGCTAGGTAAATTACATTACTGTCCAGTGTCCAAGCTGTTCAGTCCATACAAATTGTATTCTGGTGATAGTTGATTGTTCTGTTGCTGATCATGAAATGTTATTTGCGATCTCACTTTAATGATCTACGATAACTACACGTTGTAAAAGTGAAGCATCGATTAAGGCTGAACCAAACAGTCAAAGATCGAGTCTTTCAAATTCAACTTGAATTTAATATTCTTTGGTGCTCACTCATGCTAGATGCACTCATGCATGTGTGACATTGATTGTAAAAATGTGGACAAAAATGTAAGGCACAAAATAGCGAATTATGTTCCTTTTTCGACGCTGTCTGAGCATATAAATTTCAGTTGACATTCCTCACACCACTCCCTAACGATATTGATGACGCTTATCAGCTGCTACATATTGTTTATTGATGCATTTTATAACGCCTTCAGAACAATTATACCAAACATGCTTTGTTAGACTTCCTCAGCATCTTAATAATGCGAGATAGCTGATAACTCTTAACGGAATGAATGCTGGCTCATCTTGAACCTAGGCAAAGCGTCGCATATTTTCCAGTGTAACTAAATATATTTTCTTCAAAGAAATCAGTAAAAGCAGAACTTTGTATAATTACGCCTGTACCTTTTACACTCACTCGGAGCGAATAGAACATTTTTTTTCGGAAGTGAGCCTTGATGCGGCAGACTTTGATGTCATTGAGCTGAAGTTTATTTGAAAGCCTGCTCCATCGTAAAAGACGTCTATTCAGTCAACCCACGATGAAATGGCAAACACGGGCTTCGGAGGCAGCCATATCCTGTGATATGTTTTTTTTTCGGGTAAGCACGCGAAAAATATTCTAAAGTCATGCTGCTGAAAGCTATGCCGCCTTTAATATCTTCCAATGTAGCTTACGCAAGTTTGCACAGTCTTGACTCACAAAGAAAGGAGCAGAGAGACAAAATTGGTCCACATGAATACTATGCTTCAAAGTCATACATCGAACAAATACCAAGCAAACTTAGCATTTTTATATTTCCTTAATTAATAATTTCCAACAACAATTTCAAATATATTTTCGGGCTGACACTTTCAGTGTTCCAATAAAATGTCCATGGCCGAAAATATATTTTTGACTTTTCAATAAATGAGCAAAAGGTTATTATTCACGCTTATAACATCCATCATAAGACATAACAATGTTCAAAAAACGTAACATCTAATGACATTTCCTTATTTGATGAGTTGTCAAGCAAGCTGTAAATACAAGTCAATTAGATGTATATTTTTATCTTTCCAGTAGAGTTTTATTTGCCATTGGGTCTACAGTGCTGGAATATTTCTGTCTCGCACTCCTCGGAGATGCAACGATAAGAACTTGTTACCTTTGCATTCCTCTGAGATGCAAGGATAAAGTGTCGAGGGTTCATAGCCAACAATCAAGCGTTGAAGTGAAGATGCGTGATCGCCGGACCATTTGTTGATGGTTGTGATGAAATCTTTTTCATAGATACAAAAACACGTTTCAATAAAAATGTTTTAATTGATTATGAATGAACCTCTACATAAAAAGATATGGGATTGATCATGATTCATGGCTCACTCGTGGAAGATCAGGTGTCTTTCCCTCGCGTGTTACAGGAAAAACACGCTCCTTCGTCGCTCAGTTTTCCAGTAACCCACTTGGAAAACATGTCTTTATCTTCCACTCGGAGCCATGAATAATCCTCTATATCTTTCCTTTCATTTTTTCAGCTAGAGGTCTGTAAAAGCCGAGTCACGTGACCTACCTGCGGTGTCAGTGATGTCATGCAGAACCAGAGGCTTTCCTTGATACTGAACTCGCGCTTTTCGTCATCCTCCTGGTACTTTTCGCGGTTGTTCTGGTAGCTATACGGACTGAACCGGTCGAACAGCGACAGAAGAATGCTGCAACGGAACACACGAGTTACAACAGGCAGAAGGCAAAGCCTGTGGGATGATTAGACCAGTAGTGTCGATCATGCATCCAAAACAAAGACCACAGATATTTATAGCATGATGAAACTGAATAATAAAAAAAATAAAGCTTATACTTATTTGCAAAACTTAGCATGTCTGAATAAGGGAAGCCTTTTTGATATACTAATTTTGACAGCTATTTGATACTTTTGGGGCAAGAACATTTGGGGCTGACAGTTTATAAGAGTGACACCGAGGGACGCTGTCCAGCCAGACCCTCCTGCCTCTCATCCTGCCTCGCAGTCGCCCTCCCCAATTCCTGCTCCCCCGTCCCTCATCCCCCCTCCGGACAGAACGGCTCCGCCCCATTGGATACAGGTTACGCTCCAGTGTGTAAGCTGCCAGAGACGGTCACCACAACAGTCAGAGACATCTATTGGTGTTGCACTGAAGTGACTGAGGTGGTGGTGGCTCTGGTTACGTCTTCATTCCTAGAAACTTTGCTCAAAAAACAAGTCTCTGATAGTTGTAGGTATCTACTCTGTACCAATGAAAAATGGGACACCGCACGATAGGACCGCGGCCGGAATTAGCGCGACATTGGTGGATTTGGCGACCATTCCCAAATTGAGTTAAACTGTGTCACGTAGTTCAGAAATGTCCATGGACCACGAATCTGCAAATATTTTTCGTCCATAGTGTACAGCGTCCGCGCCACATCAGCCCAAACACAAAGTTTTGTGCCAAGCATCGTAGACCCGTTTTCGTACGGAGAAAAATAGTAGCTAATGTAGGCAAAAAATGTGTATATTAGACGGCTTTATCAATATTTTCGACGTCTAGCCTGATAATTTAGACCATGGGCTACACGATGGAAGAAAAAACTCATAGCGGAATATATAAATACGCTTCAAATGTTAAGTTTTTTTTGGTGCTTTTAAAATTGTGAGTTAATTTTACTGTTATAGATATTCTGGAATGCCGATATAAAAAGTCCCGCTAGGTCCCGCTGTTCTTTTATCAATATGGTGTTTACCAATCAATTGCCTTTCAGAAAATGTATAATTTAGCTGCGTCAGCCTGCGGCAGCGAAAATGAGGGGCATTTTTTTACTCCAGGTCGCCGCGGCCGGGAGCCGCGAGTAACAGAGCCTCAGGAATCGAACAAGGTTGCCAACTACCAACTATATTAAAGTTTTGTCCGGACATATCCGTACCTTCTATCGGAGTTTCTGATACACTTTTCTGACCCGTAATTAATTTGTTATATAGTCATGTAGGCCATCAGATTCCCATCTTCACGGTTTTGGTGGCTACATTATTTGCTTATCGGAATTTCCGGTGCCGTCATGACCTGGCCTGACAGGTGCTGCCGTCTTATCACGTGACCGAGCCGAGTCGAGGTCAGGGCAGGTCAACCGATTAATTAATCAATTAATTAATGAATTAATTAATGATTAATTAATTAAATTAATCAGAAATTGCTTAGAAAGTACTCCGACTACCATTTTTAGGATTCTACCATCCTTTTCATGTGAAAAGCGGGCACGAAATACGAAAAAAGTACCGATGTCGCGCTAATTTTCGGTCCGGTCCCATTGTGCACCGTAACAAAATTTGATCGAACATGTTTGAAGAACGCCAAGATTACGCTTCAGATCACGAAAAATGTTCACTTCATGCATACGAAGTTGTCTCTGAGAATGCAATAGCCTGTCTTTCCCCTACGTGCTTTGCAAAAAAAGAAAACAATAACATTATTTTCCAACAGTCAGCGAGAGAAATACTGCAGTATTTAACCACTGCACTGGCCAAGGCCATATTTTATAGGCTCGCCAATCAGTACGAGATCTGGCTGCCGTTTACCCTTTTTTCTTCTTCTTGGCACCGGAGCCTCATCGCTCAGGCGGCCACAGAGCGGCAAGGAATGGGGCATTGAACGCAGGCCGTCAGGACCTGCCCCAATCGGGCCGGTTCGATTAGGGGAACGATCGGCCGGAACGCCGGCCCCCCGGCAGACGGGGCACCATCAGTTGTACAGCCTGCCGGGGTCACTATCAGTGCCGCGACACCATTAGTGACGGAAGGAGAGCAGAGCTCATTGCTGTGGCACGGCGGCGCCGGTAGAGCGCGGCCCGCCGGGTAGTTTGTACAACTGTCAATAGGTGGCAGCACAGGTAGACGCCTGAAACTATACTGCGCCGCAACGCAAGGAGCGCGCAGCTGCCATGGCCAGCAGCAGTTAGTTTTCAGACGCGTCACTAGGTAGCAGCACAAGTGGGCGCCTGAATCTATACTGCACCGCAATGCAACAAGGGAAACTGCAAGTAGCTATCACCGGTTAGCTTATAGACCACGTTTCCATGGGCACCACTGATCCGGATCAGTAAAAATGGATTAGCTAATCCAGTATAGTTAGACACTATACGAAAATGAAAATAAGGGATTAACTGGTTATGTAAGCCTAATCCACTTTGAGTTATATCCTGTAACGAAGAGTTCGAGAAATATAATGCGATTTAAATTTGCTGATCCGGATCAGTGATGCCCATGGAAACGGGGTCATAGACGCGTCGTTAGGTGGCAGTAGAGGTAGGCGTCTAAATTTATACTGCACCGCAATACAACGAAAAGGAGACAGGCTGTGAACAGCGATTATCAAGGGTGCTACCTAATCGTTGCGCAGCAGTTGCGCGGTTGAAAGTGAGAAAGGTTGGAGTAAATATGGCTTTGTGACTCTCTCTCTCTCTCTCTCTCTCTCTCTCTCTCTCTCTCTCTCTCTCTCTCTCTCTCTCTCTCTCTCTCTCTCTCTCTCTCTCTCTCTCTCTCTCACCGTTCCGTGCTTCTATCCTCAGGATGCTGAAATCCTTCTCCCCCACGCCGCAACCCCCTCCGGGCTGGACAGGTAACTTTATCTCATGCGGGCTGCTCCCTTGGAGCGGCACTGCTGCTCCCGAGGGAGCGCACCCCGTAGCCGGGTACAGTGAGTACCTAGGGGCTGGCCGGCCTGTCTTTCGGGACGGGCTCAGCCCCGGTGACTCACTAGGGTGCCTGCTCAGACCAATGTCTCCCCCTAATTCCTATCATCCTTCCGGCTCTGAAATGGTCTCGTCAGACCGAAAGGGCCTAACCCCCCCAAAAAAAACAATATCTCTCTCTCTCTCTCTCTCTCTCTCTCTCTCTCTCTCTCTCTCTCTCTCTCTCTCTCTCTCTCTCTCTCTCTCTCTCTCTCTCTCTCTCTCTCTCTCTCTCTCTCTCTCTCTCTCTCTCTCTCCCTTTTTCGCGACCTAGAAGGCTAACTAGAACTAGTTTTACGTGTCACCAAAGTGATCTGCGAATACATAATTGTAATTTGTAAGCTGATATCGTTTTTATCTACACAATACACATCGCATTTAATCTACAAATACCAATGTTACTACTGCACTGACGCGAACATCGTCCAACATTCAAAGCACATAAGATACGTTACGGTCGACATAGTTAATGCATTCCTAAAACTAAGCATTCCCGACTTATACAGTCTGATCACGTGCCAATCTGCTATGCATTTTTCGCCAACTGCAGTCCATTCATTGAAGTTGCCATTTCATGCCGGCAGTTTCTGGAAATTGAACTATAAACCTTGAGCGGACTAGCGCAATGCATATTAACATAGCCCTGCTCTGTTGCCATGGAGGATCGCTACCAGTTGGTATTTGATAGTTACCTCGTCACGAAGTAGGCCCCCAGGATGCAGCCCCAGACGTCAGTCTCCAGAACGGTCAGGAATTTGAAGAGGGCCGGCACCACCTTGGGCTTCTTCATCAGTATGGTGATGCCGACCAGGTCGTAGTAGGGGATGGTGAAGTCGACGACGTTCTCTCGCTCCGCCATCACGGACAGAGCCGAGAGGGCGATGTCGGCTTTCTGTAAACGGATGTAAGGGGGGACGGTGTCAGGAGGCAGTGAAGATATGCTACATTTTCTAGAGTATTGGCATATTTGTAAACATATACACGTAAGTGAGATCTTAGTCGTATAACTGCATTCACGATAGCACTTGAAGATCATTATTAATTTACCGACACTATTGATGAAAACATGCTGAATCATACTTCATAAATCGGCAAATACTATTTTTCGCATATTACATACAGAACACACCACGAATCAAGCAGGAGCATAACATTTACATAACATATCAACATAACAAACATATCAGGCATACCGTCTATCAATATTTCGCACATTACCCGCAGAAGCATTGCCACTCACCTTGTCGACGAGTTCCCGAATCATGCCGTTCCACTCGTTGTCCTCATTCATGACGCCGTAGGTGCCGTCCTTCACCTCGTAAATGTCGTACTCGAAGTTCAGGATCTTCTGAATGTCGTGCAACAGCTCAATGCAATAGCCGTCAAACACGATGTTACCGTTCTCGTCCATTTTCTTGATAATGAATGGCGGTTGCTGGGGAAAGACGTATGCTGTTCGTTATTGCAAACCTCAAGCCACATTCTATTGAGCATGGATTATTTTAGCTCTTAGTCATTCCAAGCATAGAAATATGCATGTCTGCCTTTATGAGTATTATGTAGGCTGAAAGTACAATACAAACTAAGTACGGCTCTCGCAAGATTAAGCGGTAGGTTTTGCACTTTAACATTTCCGGTTATATCTCAGAAACTAAACGATCTTCGATGAAGCCATTTTACACGATCATGGCCGGCTTGTGAACCAACAAGTCGATCGCATCTTCAACACTTAAAAGCTTAAGACGACGAAGAGTTAGCCTGAAGTACACTAAATTTTCTAGGTGCAAAACCTATCGCTAAAACCCACGAGACCCAATACAAACTAAGTGCAGAATCGCTGCGTCCCTCACCTCTAACGTGACGATCCTGTAGACGGTGACGGCCTTGAACCTGTTGAAGGCCTCCTGATCGAGCTCGGTGAATTCTCCCACGGGGCTGCCGACCTGGTAGAGGCCGACCGGGTCTCGCGAGTTGACCCGGCTCGACAGAATCTGCGTCCGGTACAGCCTCATCGTGAACTCCATGTGCGAGAGGCCGTTAGAGGAGAGCGCCAGCCCGCCGTATGTGTCCATGCCGCTCAGCTGAAAAATGAGAGGAGGCGGGTATGTGCTGGAGATTGCTAAATTGTTACGAGCGAGCGAGCGCAGCGAGCGAAGTGAGTCTTTTCAATATAACGGAAAAATCTCAGTATGAGCGGCCCGGCCCGGCCCGGCCCGGCCTGTAACGCTTTTGAGAGGCTTATATCTCAGCAACCGCTGGACCGATTGGCCTGCGGTCTTTTTTGTTGGGTAGCCCCATCCCTTCTACCCCGTAATTGATTACTTTTGATACATCTCAGTGACCGTCGTGGCACGTGCCACGTGAAAAGTCAAGGGTGTTCAAGCTGTTCTGCAAAAGTAGTAATTTTGAGAGGCTCATATCTCAGCAGCCGCTTGGGCGATTGACTTGCGGTAATTTTTGTAGGGTAGCAGCATCCCTTCTACCCAAAATAGGATACTATCGATGCATGTGGGTCACCCCCAGTGCACGTGCAAAATACAACAATAAGAGGTGCCAAATTTGTTCCCATTTCAGTAACTCGGTAATTACTGGGGCGATTTCGCTGAAACTTGGCATACAGGTAGGCACCCACCAGGCAATGCATTCCCATGTGTTGCGGTTAGGGTGCTACTGCACGTGCGCACGTGCAGGGGGCGTTTCCAGATCTCGAGAACGGCTGGGCCGATTGCGCTCAAATTTGGTACACGGTTGGGGACCAGTTAGTAGGGTGCCGTGCAAAAGTCATTTTGGACCCCGTTTGCACGTGCGCACGTGCAGAATGCCGCTTCCAGATCTCAGGAACGGCTGGGCCGATTGCGTTCAAATTTGGCACACCGCTAGCGACCGGTTAGAAGGGTGCTTTGCGCAAGCCCGTTGGAAGCACCCTCTCGCCCTTCCGCACGTACAGGGCTCACTATCTCGCTCGTTCGTTCTTCGCCCAAAAGGCGTTTTACTGGTGTTAAGCATGTCAAGCTGCTTTGCGAAAAAGCTGTTTGTAACGACACATATCGTAGCCTTTTTTAATAGTAGAGCCTGTTTTTAGAAATAGCATCAAGCCTTTGCAATTTTTCTTGAAAATTGTTTTTAAGAGACTACGATTTAAACAAACTTCTTACTTTTCCCCACCGACACACACCTTCATGAACTGATGAAATGCCATCACCCATAATCCAGCCCTTTCTTTATCCCACGCTCCCATCTCCACCCCGCTCGTACCGCCTTCATGGCGCTCATGAGGTCGAGGCCGGTGCGGTTGGTCCTCTGGCCGGCCTGGTACGCCTCGCACGTCAGCACAGAGTAGTCGGCCGGAAACTGACCGTCGTCCATCATATTCCTGCCGGACACGTGACCACAAATCAGACGGCACCAGGTTTGTCACGAGCGAGAGCGCTGCTCGGAAGTGTCAGTGCATGAATTTATCGACTTCTGCACTCGGTTTATTTTTGTCAAGGTTATCGAACATTGACCACTATAATAATACGAAATGATGCCAATTTCGATGAATACTTTTACTGTGATGAGTTTTCCTGCTTGGTAAAGCTCTGTTTGGTCCCCAAATATGGGTATCTTACTTATAATGATCATAACGACTTGGATGTATGTTGCCTTAGGTCCAAAGTTGTGTCTGTAGCTGCAAGCCGCAAGCCGTGGGAGTGTCAAAGCCTTCATTAAAGGGAGATAATGACCTTTTTCCACAAAATCTGAGTTAGGACCATTTTCTGACAAAACACAACAAGTTATAATGTAAATTAAAACCATTTTGCTCAATTCGGTACCTTGCCGCAAATATCTCAACTTGAAGTCACGTTAGCGGGGAGCGCTGAAAGTGACCGTTGAATAAGTACTTACATCACTTTTTGGTACTTGCATGTAATTTTGTAAAATGAGCGTATTCCTTACATTTGACCTTCATCACATCTAGTTAGTTAATGGTCGTCTATAGTGCCTTCAAAAGATATTCATGGTTTGGGGGTGGTTTATGTCTAAATTTACGCAACTATTTTTCCTGTTCATCATCTGACGCCATATGCTGCTATTTTAGTAGCAACGACTCAATTTTGAATCGGTCCCGCCGACTGCACAATAAAAGAAGATAGATACAACACTTTTGCGGCATCACTGAAAAACTTATGCAGTACTGTTATCAAAATTCTCATAACATCGTTCGACAAACCTGAAGTCTTTTTGAAATAAATATGCTTGTATTTTTCGCTTCAGGCTCTGACGCCAAAATAATGAATTTCGTAGTCGCAATCGCAAGATTTGGCTGCGTTTCTGGCGCATGCCGTTCATTTGTGCCGCATGCCGCATGCCGAAACAAAGAAGAGTAGGCACTATGTACCCCCGAATTAGAATCTAATTAATTCTAAACGGAATTAACTCTAATTCAAATTAGAATCCTTACAACCAAGCAACGACAAGGCGATAACATAAACAAAAACCCAAGCGTCGCTGTTTGAAACAAAAGCGCCATATACTGCGACTTTTTTTATAGAGAAGGACAACGGCAACGCATTTCGGTGGGTGTTACAAGTACTGCAAGTACTGCTTCTTTTTTGCAAAAATAAAAACTTTTTCACATACGAAAATGTGCTAGGAAATTTTCATATTTTATAGAAACTACAGTAGAAATAGTATAGATGTCGAGTAATTTTTATTTAAGAAAAAAGAAAGCTCATTATCTCCCTTTAATAGTTCCATGAAAAATATTGCATTGTGAGCATTCAAAACCGTAGTTTTGAATGCTCACAATGATAGTAGTTTTGAATGGCATGATGCGCTCAGCGCTCTGATAATCTGAGAATTGAGATGCACAAGAGTCGAGCACATTTATGACTGGCTCATCCACAAGGCCAACAGCTGTGTATCCTTTATACAAAGGTCCTACCATTAGCTTCGGACGATCCCAAAATGCATAAAACCGAGTGTTGAGTTCTAAGTGGGAGTGACCTGGGACTGCTATACAATATCGGACGCCAGTGACGCCATCTATGCCAACGGAGGTCCCTGCCAGCGTCGGTGGCTGGCTCTGAACGGTAGTGTACCGGTAGGTGTCGCTACCTGTACCCGAGAGGACACAAGAGTGGTTACGGTGGCGGTGGCTGACGTCTAGTGCCGGTAGGCTGTGCCGCAATACACAGAAGACAGGCGGGATAGTATTCAGTGTGCCGGCTGCTGAGCGACCGATAGCATCGCAGTTTCATGACGCATTGAAGTGCAGTGTGCTATCGTGTTATCGTAAATCCAGGAGTATTTGTATTTGTGCTTGTTTGGCAGACCGTCAACAAGAAACTGACTCGTTGAAAGCCGTGTGATAATGAATACGGCAGGCACACAGCCGCTCAAATACTGAATGCTCTCATACAAGCTCACAACTTCCACGAGAGGCGTAAACGCACAATAGACCCTTAAACTAAAAAGGACCATGACATTAAAAGGAAGGAGACTGTGGACTGTGGCCACAAAAAATGACTTCTGCATTCACTCCTCCCCACCAAAAAAGGCGCAACTACCTCATAAAACTTCACCCATGACAGTACAAAGAGAGAAATGATCTATGTACAGGGTGATTTTTTTTAACTGTTAAAAAGTAAACGTTAATGGTGGTCCCTAAATCGAAAAATCTTGTGCAAAAAAGCAATGCACGTGATAGATAAATCTGGGACATTTTGTATGGTGTCATGATTTGTCCCTTTTAACCGAAGGCCTCGGCCCCAATGGAGCCTGAAAATGTCACACCAATCGGGCACGCATGGTCCACCGCCGTTCAGTAAGGAACGACACAAAACGATGATTTTGAAGCATTGAGGCAGTTCGAAGCATACGATCATTAAGGAGATACCTCAGAAAGACGTTAAATAAAGCACGAACAAGCTTGTAGTCATAAATAACCTTCAAACGGTCCATCTGGCGTATTTCCAGCCTCTGAAGAATCAGTCTTCAGGGAGAAACAAAAACAGCGAATCAGACACCACCAGGGCCGCCAGTAGCAAAATCCTCGACCTGCCCTTTCTAGACTTCTAGTTTTTGGACCCAGGTATGGCAGATATAACAAGAAAACATTGGAAATATCTGGCAGAGCTGAAAATGGGTGATAGGAGCCTTTTCAGTCCGCCCAATGAGCATGGGAGTCCATGGTGCTGTTCAACACGCGCTCAGGCGGGCTGATTCGTGTCGGTGAGAGAGGGGGTAACTTCAAGCACACGTAAAATACACGATGGTCGTTCCTTTACATCGTGTCTGCATGAAATCAAAATGTCCCAGAATGCTCGTCATGCTGGTACATAATTTTACAATATATATTTGCATTTTAACCCCACTAAACCTCTTAACTTTTTAACAAGTAAAAAAAATCACCCTGTATGTTGACAATTTTCCGTTCGACAAATATCACGTATGAAATACTTACGTGGCTGCGAATTACAGTGACAACACCATCGCCCGTACTCACGAGATGGCTTTAACGGCCTTGACGGTGAGGTCAAAGTAGAAGGCAGCGTCGATGCGTGGCGTGGCCGTCAGGCCCTGGTTGGTCTTCAGAGCCTCGATCTTCTGCTGGGTGGCGTCAGAGGGGTCCGGAGCGATGTGGATCACTGTGGCATTCGTACATGCGCAGGAAACCGGTTCCGTGCCCTGGAAACGACACAGACGGAACGAAAAGTTACAATGGGCATTGTGCTTTAGTAATTGAGTGTCGGAGTAAGGGCAATATTCTATATGGCCGTCTATAAAATATTTTACATATCTTCCTTGGCTGTCTATAGGGCAGACAGCCAAAAAATGTGTAGTGACTGAAGTGCACAATTGCACAATGACAGCGAAGAAATGTCGGTTAAGAAATAACTTTAACTATATAAAGCACATACCACACAACATTTTGCCGTGCTTGAGCATTTGACACGCCGCCATGACGTCTCATCTAAGCTAAACCAATTTCACAACAATTGCACACAACATTTACAACGTTGTAATTAACCCTCGCCCGCACATGCCATTTTCCCATCCTAGAACGCACATGGGGGGGTGGTTGCCACCCCCCCCCGCGCCATTTCGTTTCTGTTGGAGATAGAGCTTAGCAGTAAAGACCAAAAAGATTCTTTGGGAAGAGACGAATCCAATGATACCCAGTTTTACCTTCTCAGGTCAGTCATTGACCTTCCAGGTCAGGTCAAACTAAAAAATGTTGCTGTTTTGGGTCACCGTTGGATATCAAGTGCGCTGCTTATCAAATACCGATGACGATGCTGTTTTCTGGTGCTAAGCCAGCTAGAACCTCTTTGTCACACTATCCGACCAGAATTTTGCTGCTGAGGTCATTTCAGGTCAAGTTAGGTCAAGGTCAATTATATGTGTTTGTATGTCTGTGTGTGTCTGTGTGTATACTTATGTGTGCACCGATTGTTTTTGGGTCCATATCACATGAAATCATGATCTGAGAAGCTTTTACCAAAAATGCAGTCAAAAAACTTCACAAAAAGTAAATTCAGCTTGCCTAAAACGCAATTATCTTAGATGACCTAGGTTGACCTTGACCCTGACCTTGACCCCTGTACATCGTCGAACAATATGTTCCATGATAGGTGGGAGGTAAGACTGGCAAAAAAGGCCGAAATCAGGGTGTCAAAAGCTCACAAGGCCCATGGCAAACGCAAGATGTTGAGAATTGGCCATTTGGGTCATGACATGACCTGAAAAACAAGGTCATATCTCCGAAACCAAAAATCACAGAAACTTGAAATTTTCAGTGAACATCAAGAAAGGATAGACGAGCAGCTATACGAAAAATGAGCCTTCTAGCTCTAAAAATGTTGAGTGCAGAGCAGAAAGACTGCCTGGGGGGGTGGCAACCACCCCCCCCCCCCATGTGCGGGCGAGGGTTAATGCGTTTTACCGCAATTCAAGCCATGCTGTGGCGCTAACTGGTGCTTCTTTTTCTATATTAGCAATGCACTTTTTTCTCTTTCTAGCATGGCTATTATGTGTCTTCTTAAACATTTGTTGGGCTACATGCTTGTATGGCTGCAACCTGATAAAATGTCAAAAACGGAAAACATTATGTCACTTACATGACAGTTATATGTGTATATTTTTATCTTCAAACATAACACTGAGCTTTTGTTACAAAAATGACAGTTGATTTCCTTGATGCGTGAACTTATGCATGAGCCCGTCGCTTATGACATTACAGACGCATAATATACCTAATTAATAGCCGACTCAAAACGGAGGTCAAAGGATGTACGAGGCTAGCTATTCATAAGCAACGTTCCGTCAACTGCTGCATCACACGCGTGACGTTATGCCATCGTCCGTCCACCTTGTCTCGCGCCATGGGGCCCAAACTGTGCTGCAATAGGTACACCGTCCTGCAAGTTTGCCGAAAGCAGTAACAAACGCACCATCACGGAGACGGCCATACTCGTATAAGTAGTGACATGAGGGTAGAGGAAGATCACCGTTCCATGCTTCTATCCTCAGGATACGGAAATCCTTCTCCTCCACGCCGCAACCCCCCTCCGGGCTGGACAGGCAACTTTATCTCATGCGGGCTGCTCCCTGGAGCGGCACCGCTGCTCCCGAGGGAGCGCACCCCGTAGCCGGGTGCAGTGAGTGCCTTGGGGCTGGGTGGCCTGTCCTCTGGACGGGTTCAGCCCCGGTGACTCACTAGAGTGCCTGCCCAGACCAATGTCTCCCCCTACATTCTATCATCCTCCCGGCTCTGAAATGGTCTCATTGGACCGAAAGGGCCTAACCCAACAAAACAAAACTAGAGGAAGATGGGGTAAGACTAAGTTTGGAGGCCCATGTCTTGCTACCGTGCGCTCGAACCTCATATTGTTTATAGCCTGCTGAAAATTGATTCCATCCTCTTTTGATATGTGCAGAGGCTGGATTTTAAATAAAAAACCAAGTTGTGGGTAAAACTAAAAATCATCGAGAAGAAAAACACGGGGTTAGACGATGTCCATCAAGCAGTCCATATTCAGTAGAAATCCAGCCCGAATTTAGCCCAGATGCGGGACACTTCAGATCGAGCTGAAACTCGCACACAGTATAGGTCGTGACATACACAATCCACAGCCCGAGCCATTCGGTGGCACTCCCAGCCGTTTGACCTACAGAGGTCAGCAAAGGTCACGTGTCCCAAATCTGCACGGCAGAATGCAGATTGTGGCCCACCCAGGAGAAACGGAGCGCCGAAAACGACACCAAATGACTCTCCAACACCTAATCTTACTTTCCTTCTAGCAATTTGATCGCTCGAGGTCACGTGATGATCTCGAGGTTAGGATGCGGTTGAGGATGACCTATATTGTGGTCAAGCGTGATTCTAACATTGTTCTTTACAGCTAGACGCAAATACAACTTAACCCTCGCCCATGTAGGGGGGGGGGGTTGGTGCAAAAACGCGCCTTAATGAAATCAGTCTTATGCCACTCATTAGATCAGTGCGACGAAAAACAACATTTTTATCAAAAGTTCAAAATCCGTGAGTCCTAGCCCCATGAGCCCAAGGTTGCCATTGGTGCAAAGGAAAACCAAGGTAGTTGGAGCATTGTATATCATGAGCTAGCAGTAGTAGTTCAGCCGGGAAGGGTGGTGGTCCGTCTTACCCCACCTCCCCCTACGTTTGTAAATGCAGGTGTGTGCAGTTGCAGTTTATTGTAGTTTTAGTTGGATAGTTGTAGCCGCAGTGCATCTAGCCGGCAAGGATTCAATGATGAGTGAGCGGAAAAATCGTCAACAATCGCCCACATATAAATAACATAAATATTTTAGTAAAACGATTAACGGGACTTTTTCGCGAGCAAATATTGACTTGAGTTCAGAATAACACCTTGCAATGCGAGACACTTATGTAATTAAAATATAAAATAATAATAGCTCAACGCGGTAAAACTGACGAAAGTCGATTGTGTTTACCGGACACGTCAATACCACACCGTCAATATTTGAACCGCTTCGCGGCGGACCGATTGCACTGCACGCGTGCGAGCCGTTAACGAGCGGTTCGGCGCACCGATTTCGCCTCTGCCTCCATTAGGAGGGCTCGTCATTACCCAGTTATCAGCGAAGTGCGGCACACCTGTGGCGTGCTCGGCCACCGCAGACCGACCGGCGGCGGACCCTCATCAATGATCCAGCGGCCGGGCCGAGCCGGGTCGCGGTCGAGCCGGCACTGTTCGACCGTGCCGCCGCACTGAGTAGTTAAGTATGCATGGCTCGGTAACAATTCGGCGTGATGGGCGTGAGCCTGGCGCGCCACTTGACAATCGATCGCCGTAACGGCGACAGCGCCGGCCGGGACCGTGGCGGCGGCCCGGGTAGCGGCGGCGGCGGCGGTACTATCAATACAAACGGCTTCGAGTGGACAGCGGCCGGCGGCGGTCCGCGGCCCGACCGGTCCCGGCGGACCGCTGACGCCAATCGATGTCGTATGCTGCGGATGGCGGCCGCCGCAGGACCTTGCCCACAATTGCTCCTGGACGGGGTTCGACCGGCGCGCGGCTCGCACCGCGCGCGATGACGGCTATATCGGTTATCGATGCGGCCCGTGCACTGCAATTGGGCCAGTTGCAAGTGCATTGCGGCTTTGGTGCGGCGACTACCCGGTTTGCAGGTCGATGGCCCGTCTATAATCAGCCGGATGTTGCATTTATTATCTACTGATATCCGGTCCATTATCAGTTCATGTCTCGTCCATTATCAACTGATATTCTTTCCTGTACTCCTGTGTAGTCAAATGGTGGTGACCTACCCACTACCCAGTCGTCTTTCCCATTTATATTACAAATTGGTGTGCACATTTCAAGTTAAAACGATCAGTAATGTAAACCCATCAATCACGATGCACCGCGATGAGGTAGCAGATCATTTCACACACAGAGTTACGTTAAATGTAAAGTGATCTTATCCTAGTGTGTGTAGTTCAAGTCCGTAGGTAGTTACATATTGATATTTCGGTAGGAGGCCTTCATCAGAATAATCAAAAAGATCACTTTTGAACCATCGCTCAAAAAGTTCTGACGCCACTTCTTTTATTTCTCTGTTAACTTTGTGGACGTGAGATTAATGAAAATTGATAAATAAGTGCTAGGGAATTTTCACCGGGACTGGTTGGGTACCACTGCCGATACCAGACGCGAATGCTAAGAAGCTCTTCAGACGCTCCAATGACTCTGTCACTAGCTGTCAAGGTGACAGAAGACTGTACCTTTTCGTCCACTTCCCACGGCGCCTTTGACAGCTTGTTCAGGAGGGCAGACCATTCAGACGTGCAAGGACAAAGCAGCTATTCAAGAGCTGAGTGACAGGCATGCACTCAAGCCAAGGTCTTTAAAGGTTGACATGAAAATGTGTTCCTACTTTCAATGCATTGCTTGATTGTCATTGGCCAAACAGCCCTCCTCTTCGACAGCCTTGGTCATCAAAATCCGACAGCGAAACAATTACCAGCATAATACAACACAATAGGCCGAACCTGGTATTTTGATACTGTTAGCATGTCATTTCTTCAGATGAAGTTCGACGAGAAGCGTAGCACTTTTCATTAACATTCACTGTTGACAGAACTGACCGAACAACGTTCAACAATACAAAAGAGATTAATCCGTGTGTTATTTCATTCAGCAGCCGATGCGCGTTGTTGTAGTTAACATCTCTAAAACTGTATGATGACTGAAAAAAGGCTTTTTCCATAGACGTTCCCGCAAAACTAATGGCCTTTCATGATCCATGACGTAGCATGGCGATGGCGTAGTATGTATGAGCAATGCCAAAACCTTCAGTACTATACGAGTATAGGCAGTAGGCACAATTCGTTGCATGTTTGTGAATGTTGGTAATGTCTTTTGAACAAAAGGAGACAGCTACATTTTCTCCCATCAACATGGCGAAATCGCAAAATTGACCTGCCCCTAGCCTCGCTCAGGGACTGAAAATCCGATGCATTCTTCAATCTTTTATCGGTTATAAGTAATCCAACCCAATAGTTCAGTCCACATATACTAGCCAAGATTTTTGTTGCTGTGTCTGTTGTTGCCGTCATCGTTGTTGGTGTTGTTGATGCTGTTTTTGTTGTTGATGTTGTTGTTGCTGCCGCTGCTGTTGTTGCTGTTGATACCGTACTTGTTTGTTAACAAGCGTGCGTTGTGAATAAAACTCAGCTAACATGCTACATCATGAATGTTTCCCTGTTTACCAAGTACCCATCACAGTCTTACGTCCAATAAACTCACACATGACCTCATCCAGTTTCATAACCACACCCACCTTGCTGATGACGAACCAGGCGTACTTTCTGCCGTAGAGTTTGTGTTTGTTTCCCGCCTCCAGCACCATCTTCACCGTATCCCGGTCGCCGAGCACGAAGAAGTTGACCAGGTCGGCCTGCTTGAAGCGGGATGTCTGCGCGAGCGCCGCGCTCGTGTTGCCCGATGGCAGGTGGCTGATAATGTGACGACACGGTACGTTCTGCAGCAGCGACTTGTACTTGTAGTCCATCACTGCCGGAGAAGCGAGCGAACCAAATCTATAACGACAAATGTAAAATATCCAAACGTATATTTGCATTGATTTTAACCCGCGCCCTGGTGGGGTCTGTTTATAACGCGACCTGGTGGGGGGGCTATTTTTTGCCCCCCCCCCCCTCGTATCTCCGAAACTACTGGACGGATCCGCAAAATTCAAACGGCGTTCGAAAGACCTGTGTCGAAGGAAACCGAATTTCAATGACCTCGGGGTCACTGATGACGTCACAGGTCAGGTCAAAGATGAAATGTTTCACCGTTCACGGGTCTTCTAGGGAATGCGCTATAACACCGAGGAAAACGCATTTTGTCGAGAATCAGCGGTAGGGCGTCAGTTGCCTAGTAGATACGTTGCTATTAGAGGTCACTGGCAATACCAGGTCAGGTCACAGGTCAGGTCACCAAGGGTCACAGGTCAGGTCACATGAGCCCAACTTTACTAAGGTTGTGTGATACATGTTTTATGGCCAATTTTTCATTTCCAACTCAATGGTGTTGGTTATAAGACTATCAGGTACGGCTTAGGTCACTTTCTGGTGAAGTTCAGGTCAAGGTCAGGTCAAGGTCAGGTCAAGGTCAGGCCAGAAAAGGTCAAATTTTAAAGTTGATAGTTTTGTATAAAATGGGTATTGATTCGATGCAGCTCGTCACGGGGAGTCTAATGGTGGTCTTTGTTTGGCGCTACGGGGTCTAGAATTGCTAAAAATTGAGTTTGAAAATTTGACGTCATCAATTTTGAACAGTTTTTTCGCTATAACTTCGCCAAAAAAAGAGGTATCAATCTCAAATTTGTTATGTGGATGGAAGGCGGTAAGGACTATCACATATATTTCGGTTTTTGCGAATATCAAAAAACTTTTTGGATTTTTCGATTCTTATATTCAAAAAATCTATTTTTTGATTTTTGGGGGTCAAAATCCAAAAATTTCCAAAATCCGAGATAACGGTTTTGTAGCCCTGTCCAATCTACAGCTTTTATGTCCTTATCATTTTTCTGTATTTGCAAAGCTATAGGCCTGACAGCTCTTCCCGCGAAACCCTTTTTTGGGTCGAAAACGGCAGAACATGACGTCACTCTGACGTCATTTCCGGCCAACCTATCATGACCTTTGGAAAAATTTTTGGTCACAATGTGTCAAATCGATGTCCGGGAGGGTACTGAAAGTTTGGTGACGATCGGCGCAGCGGTTCTGGAGATATATCGAAAAGTCTGGAGGGGGGCAAAAAATAGCCCCCCCCCCCACCAGGTCGCGGGTTAACGGACATTATGCCAGGTCATTGTCCGTAACCATGTCGCTTCATGTCAAACCTAAAGGATACCCCAGACTGCGTAGTGCGTATGCGACGCCAGGGACGAGTTCCTTTTATGAGGGATGCCTATACTTACTAGAAACACATACCTACTAAAACACAATTATTACCAACGCTGTTGTCCATATTAGCCAATATTGGCAGACAATCTGCAGTCACGGGGAAGCACGCCATGTTTATTTGTCATGTTGTTGCCGATACCGTTATAATCAATGGGGTCTGCGCCGGCCTTGGTTACAGCCTCCTTTCTGCTGTGACATTCGCCGGTAGTGGGTGTCCCAATGGGTCGACTCTGGCCACTCTGTGTCGGTCGATGGAAGGTAATGACCCCTGCGGGACCCCGCCGGCCGGCCCCGGGCACAGAGGCCAGTCTACAGTGTTTCTCATTCAGTCAACAAAAGGCTGTTACTGGTGAATGTCGCGACCATTGCCACTAAGACGTGAACTTGGACTGTCGAGGACAGGGTAGGCGCTCGGTGGCCGATTGTGACCTGTAGGAGGGATGTGTTGAAATAGTGTGCATAAAACGTGGCACTGTGCAAACTGTTCATGGTAAACGTTTACAAAGAGTAGTCTTAACAGTTTGACCTGGAATGGATGTATAACGAAAAAGAGCCACATTTCAAATGGCAAACAGTATTTGAAGCAGCTTGTTTGACTGCTTATTAACGCACAAAGGCTAGCAAAACATATACCGCGAAGCGATCCAGCTCGAGTTTGTTTGTTGTGTATAGGTAATGTTGATTGTTAACTTTTCGGTGCAAATTTGTAACCGGGATCACAAGGCAAGGGTAGAACGCCCAGTTATCCATTCTAAGTACGAAGCAACATGCACACGCAAAGGAAGACGAAGCTGTGGACTACCGGCCGTCTTTGTTACATCCCCAGAAGCTACTCATGACATTTCCGTTGAATGTTCAGTGCTCAACCATCTTTGTTCTAGACGAGCACTCAAGGTAGCTGTTGGAGAAGGAGTGAGCGCCGTCGGAGTGGCCATTAGTGTTTGAAGGCCTGTCCCACAGCGGTGACGGCACCGGTTCAGCCAAAAAGGTAGTCTCATTCAGAGCTGCGGAGTCGATGGATTTTCGGTGATCCCGACTCCAACTAGTGTTCTGCATATTTTGGTATGCTTTGACAACAGAATTTCATTTCAGAATGATAGATTACGAGTTACGTATAACAGCGTCAAAAATAGTACCTATCAAGATTTATGGAATGAAAGTTCGCGCAACTATTATTAGAACATCTGTTACAAGGGATGACAAAAGCTGCACGAATTTCCATTTGATAATGCTTGGTACTAATTTTGACGGTATTGGACGTAGTCAGAGCTGTCATTTTCAAATATAACTTCTGTAGTCAAAGGCGCAGCAGAGTATGGCAAAATATGCAGAACACTAATACAACTATTTAGGCCCAGTTGTAGCCGAAAAGTTGTAAATGTAGCTTTACCTGGGTAACAATGCCTCAACACACAAAACAACACAAATACGTTGACTAATGCTACAACGCGTAAACACAACAACGAAACACCTAACTATCCACTCACCGAAGGAGTCGTCAAAGATGATACCGGCACTGGTGATGTTCTGGTCCATGACGATTTTCCGTATCACCTGGATGGCGCTGTCCATGGGTGGCAGCACCTGGATCAGGTATTTTTGCTCCTCCATCGACAAGTCACGCCACACCCTGGTGACGGGGCGACGATGAGTTGTCAGGCGCTGCTAGCGTGACGGCGAGAACGCCCACAGATATAGTCGATAGAGCATACCAGGAGCTGCTCAGTTATCGATGGATGCAATCGGAAGATTAATGAAATGTGCGTGTCGGCTATAGCTTGCACATACAACAATGAATTCAGTATGCTCAAACATAAATGAAAAAGGCAACGATGACTTCTGTCATCAGCTTTCAGAGCGTCTTAATTCAAAGATCAGATTTAAACATTATTAATACATACTTTGCGGTGCGTTCACTGGGGATTCGAAGTTGTCGAATTTGGGAGAGCCAGTGCGTTATTGCCACGAGCGTGCTCTAATGAAATTCAGCGTGCGTTAATCGAAATTAATACATACTTTACGGTGCGTTCACTGGAGATTAACCGTGCGTTAATTCGAAGGTAGCCGTGCACCAATTTAAATTGGTGCACGCGCGTGCAGTGATGACTTTCTCGACTGAAGTTTTTCGGAAGGGCCATTGACTTTATTCTAAGATTTCCCATAAAGGGCCGTTTTTAGTGGCATGGGCTAGGTTTAATTTTAATTTAAATTCGCACCGTTAAGCATGTATTAATTAGTTTAACACATGGTTTCCGTGCATAAATGGTTTTAACGCACTCGTGGATGGAATGGAGCACTTGTGCGTTAATGCACTCGTTTCACTCGTGCATTAACACACTCGTGCTCCAATCCATCCACGTCGTGCGTTAAAACCATTTACACACGGGAAACCATGTGTTAATATATATTAACGCACGCCTATATTAACCCTCGCCCTGGCAGGGGGTCGATACGACCCCCCTAAGGTTTTTCGAAGCTAGCGTAAAAACGGCGACGCGCAGCGCCGCCAAATTTGGCACAGCCTATGGGGCAACCTTTTTACATATGACCTGAAAATTTCAGGTCCGGGTGACCTTGGGTCAGGTCACCAGGTCAGAAAAACCGGTACAAGGTCATGGTAAAATTTCAATTTTCTTTTTGCACCTGTCCAACTCACAGTTTTGGACTGATTTCCTTCAAACTTTCAGGATGTGCTAAGTTCACCGAGTTGTATAACATATAGTTCGGGTTTTTTGAGGTCACTGACCTGAGGTCAGTTAGAGGTCATTACGTCGTAATGTTAAGCCTATGGGAAAATACTAAATTCGGAAAATACTGGAGATATCCGCTTCGTTCTATCACTTTTGTGCATTGAAACCACAGTACGTAACAGCAGGTCACTTGGTGCTTCTTTGTTTGGTGTTCTTATCCATGGGTCAGGTCAAATGAGGTCAACTGAGGTCAAATGACGTTTTTGCCAATAACTTGGCACATAATGACGCTAGAGCTTAAAAAATGGTATCATTGTGATCCTGGTGATCAGGCGAATCGAATGATATACGATATGATGCAATTTGGTTAACTTGAACTTAATTTATAAATTTAAGTTTACTTAATATTTAAGAAAAACTTTAAGTACACTTAAGCATGCTAAAAAGTATATTTTTCGACGCGCCTTGACGTACTGAGTTCACTGGTGCTTTTCTTTTTGCTCTATCTTAATTAGATGAAAAGTTTAAGCGAAAAACTTTTGACCTGTTTTTAGCGAAATTTTTACATTTATACCCCCAAAACCCCCCTAAATATTGACCTAGAGCAACCAAATTTGCACAGGGGTGAGAGCTCCAGGGGGCCCACCTACCTACCAAATTTGGTGTTTCTAGGTGCCATAGGAGCCAATCGCGAGGGGGGGGTCGCATCGACCCCCCTGCCAGGCCGTGTTATGAAAAATGCCCTGCCAGGGCGAGGGTTAAACAAATGGATATATTTTCTTTATCGAATTTCTTCAATAATGAGCTGATTTATCGCATAACCATACACTTAATGCACAAAAATAATTTAACAGTTCAGAGTGCTGATATCGTGTAAGCATGCGTTCACAATTTTCTATATCCCTAAAACACCAAGCCCCTGTGGCCCCAAAATAAAAGCCATTTGGCATGGCGATTGCCTGGAATCGCACCTTAAAGCATATATTAATATTTTTAATACACAGTTTCCCTGTGCATAAATAGTTTTAACACACTCGATGAGTGATTAGAGCACTCGTGCGTTAATGCACTCGTTTCACTCGTGCATTAACACACTCGTGCTCTAATCACTCATCTCGTGCGTTAAAACCATTTATGCACGGGAAACCGTGTATTAAGTATAAATGGTTGGCATCGTGGTTGCATTGTACCGTGTTTAAACTTTGTTAAAGGAAAAGGGCCACCTTCGTGAAATATGAAGATATCGTTGTTTTTCATTTTGACATTATTATTTTTCATTTTCTTTTTAAAACTGGTGCCAGAAGTGCACAATTCGCGAAAAAGTATTTAAAACTATTTAACATATTGGTACTATGTTGATACTCTCTACGGCACCTACTGTATGATGGCATAGCGATGACGTCACTGTAGTGTCCACCGCCGTCTCCGGGTTCCGATGTGTTCTCACAAACTCGCGGTGCAAAACACTAAGGCACTGCCGTGCTGTGCGGCCGGGCGGAGCCTCTCGACTGCTGGCTCTGACTGGAGCCGAGCAGGGTGCGGCCGCCTCACACTCGTATTACCGGGGGCCCGATGCCGAGCCTCGGACACCCGATGCACTAGGTACTCGATACACTACACATTCCCCCCTCTCGCAAAAAAAGGAACAGCATCACTGCGACACGTAGTAGTCCGGTCGTCTACAGACACGGTCGCTTCGCCTGGGACGCTGCACGCTCACATCGGCGGCGTCCGGCGACGGCTCGCAAGCTGTCTCGGTCGACGGGCGAGAAGCAGCGGCGAGCGAGGTCAGCGGGCCAGCGGCGTCGGCCTCGGAAGTCGTGGCGGTCGACGTGGTCTCGCCGGACCCAGCGGGGGGAGATGCGGAGGGAGACGCCGGCGCGTATGGGAGACGGGCCAGATGGGCGGCGTTCCAGGTCCGGCCGTCAGCCAGACGGTACGTTGCGGGACCGACGCGCCCAGTGACTCGCACCGGAGACGTGAACCGACAGGACGTCTTCGAGCGGTGTCCCTGCCGTCTCACGCAGACGTAGTCGCCCTCAGTGATGCGCGGCGTCGTCACGCCACGGCGGCGGTCGTAGGACCTCTTGTTGGACTGCTGTCGGCGTCGAACTCGAGACGCCACACTGTCGGCTCCTGGTGTTGACGGCTGAATGACAGGCAGGTTCAGCCTCATCTGTCGTCCATGCAGGAGCTCTGACGGTGACTTCCCAGTTGTCGTGTGTGGGGTGGCTCGATACACCGCCAGGCTCTTGCGTACCTCGTCAATGAACGCTGCTGGTGGACAGTCTGTGATCCACGACTTGAACGTTTTGTTGAAGCGCTCTACGGCGGAGTTGCCTCTAGGCCAGTAGACGGACGATTTGGTGTGCTTCACCCCTCGGGCGGCCAGATACGCAGTGAACTCCCTGCTCGTGAACTGGGGCCCATTGTCCGTCACGATCTCGTCGGGATAGCCCTCTTTGGCCCACACAGTTGACAAGAACTTGATGACGTCTTCAGTGCCAGTCGATGACGTCAGGCAGACTTCCGCCCATTTGCTTCTGTAGTCAATCAGAGTGATGGCGTAACGGGCAGTCGCTGGTGCTCCGTTGATTGGACCAACGATATCCATTCCCAGTTTCGACCAGGCGCGGTCCGGCAGGTCGACTGGCTGCATGGGCGCAGGGCGTGCGCGCTGGGAGAGGACTGCGTCGCTGTGCTGGCAGCGCTCGCAACTTCGGCACAGCTCCTCCACCTCACGGTTGATGCCGGGCCACCACGCCAGATTCCGCAGCGCCTGTTTCATGCGGACGATTCCGTCGTGCGCGCTGTGCGCCAGCTCCAGGTATCTGCGGTGGAGCTGAACGGGCACAACAACTTGTTGGGCTCCTCTCAGGATGACGTCGTCGTTGCGCACCCACAACTCGTGTCTCATCTTGAAGTACGGCTGGACTTCAACCGGGCAGGCCTTGGCGCTGCTCGGCCAGCCGCGCTTGATCTGATGACGCAGCTGCTGCAGCTCAGGATCAGCAGCTGACGCGGTGCGGACGTCTTGCTCGGTCAGCACGCTCTCTTCATCTGTCAGAAGAGCGATCACCTCTTCTTCAGCGGAGCTGTCTTCATGCAGGTCCGCTTCTTCGGGGTGGCCACGGACCATTGTCAGTGAGCATATCTCGCCAGGGTCGGGCTGAGACGGTGGCGGTTCCGGGACTTCTGCGCTCCCAGTGACCGCCAGCGGATCGATTGCCCCACTCGCGGGGTGCAGGTTTACGTCCAACTGCTTCAGCAGGTCCAGTCCCATGACGGCTTCTTCACCGTCGGAATCTATGATGAAGAACTCTGTGTTGGCTCGCCGTCCACGGTAGGTCACCAGCGCTGGCAGCGTGCCAAGCACTTGAAGCTGGTGTCGACCAAAACCGAACAGACGAGCAGACGTTCTATTGAGATGACTGCCTTTGAAGAGACGTCTGGCGATGCCGAGTCCTAAAGCGGACACCGTGGCACCCGTGTCAACTTGCAGATTCACGGTCTGCGTGGTACCTGGTACCTCCATCTGTACTTCGCACATCATCTTATCGGTATTTGGTACGGCGCAGCAGAGAACAGTCAGCTCGTGACACCTTCTGTCGTCGTTCCGTTCACCAGACCAGCAGACCACGGCAAAGTGACCCGTCCGCCCACACTGCCTGCACGTGGCCCCGGTAGCGGGACACCGACCGCGCTCATTGTGCTGGCGCCGACCGCAGCTGGGGCACGTGTCCGGTTGCAGCTGGGCAGGTCCGGGGCGACGGTCGGCTTGCAACTGGGCAGGGGCGGGGCGGCGGTCGTCTTGCCGCCGGGCGGGTCGCCAGGGCCGGCGCCCGCGGCGCTGACGAGCGTCAGATATCTGATGCAGTGACTGCGCTCCGTCGGCGGCGGGCCGCGCCGGCCCGGCCATGGCGGTCGCCTCGCGTCGGGATCGCTCGAATGCCTCGGCGATCTCCAGAACGCGGTCCAGGGTCAGGCCCTTATCCTGCAGAAAACGCTCGCGGAGAATCGGATGCACTGTTGCTTCCACGACTTGGTCACGTATCATTGCGTCTGTCATTTGTCCAAACGAGCAGTTTACTGCCAGGCGGCGCAGCGCCGCCACGTAGTCGGCCGTCGGCTCGTGCGACTCTTGCCGTCGCTGCCGGAAGAAGAACCGCTCCGCGATCACGTTGACCTGAGGTTCATAAAACTCGGCGAGCTGCCGCTCAGCCGCATGGAACTCGTCTTCGTCTTCTCTCCTCGGCTGGACCGGTAGGGTACGGTACACCCGTTGCGCCTCGGCGCCGACACAGTGCAGAAGGAGAGCCGTCTTCCTCTCCGTGCTGTAGGCCTCACCTCCCAGGGCAGTCAGGTAGTTGTGGAAACTGAAAATCCAGTCACTCCAGGGCAGTGCTGGTTTTCCTGGTCTCGCCAGGAACGGAGTTGGCGGCGACACCCCCTCGACGTTCATCGTCGGTAGTATTCAGGATCTCATCCTTGTCGCCAGATGTAGTGTCCACCGCCGTCTCCGGGTTCCGATGTGTTCTCACAAACTCGCGGTGCAAAACACTAAGGCACTGCCGTGCTGTGCGGCCGGGCGGAGCCTCTCGACTGCTGGCTCTGACTGGAGCCGAGCAGGGTGCGGCCGCCTCACACTCGTATTACCGGGGGCCCGATGCCGAGCCTCGGACACCCGATGCACTAGGTACTCGATACACTACAGTCACACTCAAGCCAATCAGCGTTCAGAAGACAGACTCGTCGGATTGTGTCAGATAAGCTGATTGGTTAACCCGGCAGTTGCTGGGGTATTTCGCCACCCACCGTTTGCTGGGGGGGGGGGGGCGTTAAACGCCCCCAGCCGATAACTCGAGAACCAATAGGCGCAGCGAAACGCACGAGGCGGCAAACAAAAGAGCGCGACGAGACGCTTCAGATGAGTACTTTAAAGTTGAATTTTGAGGTCACAGGTCGGGTCAAGGTCAGGTCAAACACCTGAAATCGGGCTTTCAGTAGCATGGACTTCAGGACTTTGCAATAGGCGCCTCTCGCCATAAACTCTGTCAAAACGGTGCACAATCCATCTTATAAGGCCTACAAGAGTGTCAGCTCCATGTAGAGGTCAGTCAAGCATAGGTCAGGGTCAAGGTCAGGTCAACCAGGTAGGCACATATCCCCGAAAATCAAAACTGATATTCGCAGCCTGTGACACATGTTTTATAGGTAATTTGGGGCGTAGAACACGATGGTGACATTCATTTTATCATATGTGTACGTGTTTGGCTCAAAAAGTTCAATTTAAGAAATGCATGTATCATGGTCGTGAAGTAGTCACGAAAAATTGCCAAGATTCAGTTCAAGATTATGGAAAATGCGGAACGATAATCAATAATCGAAGATAGCCATTTGATTGATCATGGTATTGGCAGTCTAATGGCGTTTACGGCATGTCTGTATGTCTATTCTGTGATTTTATATGATTTTTTGAACATATGCCGTTTTTGGTCGAAAACTCAGAAATCATGACGTCACTAAAACCTCGATATCTCAAAAATTTTCCGACCGATTTTTTTGAAAATTTGTCACAATAAATTTCAATCAATTCCCTACAGGTACCCAAAATTTGGCGCGCCTGCGGCGCGCCGTTTTTATGCTATGGCCCGGCGAAAAAAGTGGGGGCGTTTAACGCCCCCCCCAGCAACTCGCGGGTTAAAGCTGAGCTGGTTGGAGCTGATTGGTAAAAAACCAAAGCCTCGCCGCGGGTGGCTGTATTGTCGGATAAGAACGCATTCCTGGGATAAGGACGCATTCCTGGCGTATTTTATTTTAAAATTGCCGATAACTACGAATGGAGGCCGAAATCGGCCGTAAGGAGGAAGACAGATAGGTATTCGGACACGGGCTACAAGATGGCTATCTCAGTTTCAATCCCCATGTTAAAGGTGGCCCTTTTCCTTTAATGAGCTATGACTGAGACAGTAGTCCTACCCGACATGACAGTGACCCGACCAGGGAACGTTACCTACCTGATGTCTCCGGGGTCGCCGCTGGAGCCGCTGACAGTGGGAATAGCCAGCACCTTGGAGACGGACTTGGCTATCTCTGAGCTGGTGCCGCTGAGAGTCGTGTCTATCACCAGATGTGGCGGCTGGCCGGCGTCTATACCGGTCTTCACCGTGCTGCACACTGGCGGCGGCATTAGCGCGTCATATGACGTCATGAGGGACAGGACAGCCATTGGGAAGGAGTGTTCCTCTATTTTTAATATACGGGTTGGTGAGAATACATTCAATTATTACTTGAACGGTTAAGTCAAAACAAAGAAGAGCAGATTGCCGGAGATATGTGGTATCGAACTGATGTAGGACGCTGATGCTAAACTTGGTGAAGCTAAAAAATTAAAATACCTCAGCTCTTACCAAAGCACGGTGAAGGCTTGGGAAATGGATAATAATACTAATTAATTTGAATGCGCTACGGATACAGGACACTTACTATCTGTTGCTAGGTCTGGTTCTTCAGTATTTTCCACCATGGCCTTGTTGACCTCGATGCCCATGTTTTGGTCTCCGATGTACTTGATCGCAGCATCGACGGCGTTCACGGCCACGTCGTTGTCTTTCTCGTTCACGAAAACTGTGCGGGAGAGACAGAGGGTTCGTCTTTCATGTCACCATTTAAACTGTGCATTGTCCTGTTGTATGTGAATTTGCAATTGATGTGTGAGCGAAACGGCGTGAAAGATAAATGAAAAGAGTCATAGTTACACAGCAAAATCATAGGTGCAATTAGGTGCATTTCATGGCATTATATGTTGATATTTTATTGCAACTGCAATATGTATCTAGTTGTAAAATGTTTTTAGCTGATGTCAGTGTCTCTAAAAATAAGAAACCTGTCATCATTCAATCAAGATTTTGCTCAAAAACCTCTACGAATACGTTTTTACTCGAATACGTTTGAGTAGTAAAGGAATCTTGGTTTTTACTGTTCAAATCAAGACCGTGTTCAAAAAGTGAGATACAGAAGCGGAGTTTACTCCATGTCACGAGCTATTGACGTAAAATCGAGTATCGCAAGGTGCCACAATTCAAGGTGATGATTCAAAGGAAAATTGGAAAATAGTTTTTTTTTGTTTGCGCAATAAATGGCTTCCTTTTTATTCAAAACGAAGAAAAAATAAAACATGTAGCTTTCATGTAGATACAGCCTTCTTATCCATTTCGGCCATCAGCGTCAAAATTTTTGTTTTGTTTTCTATCCCCATTTTATAGTATCGTTCCAATATTTTGTAGGCATCTATGGACCTTTATAATAAACTCGTCAAAGCCTCAAACCGAAACGGTTGTAAAGGAAGACTTGATACATTTGGACTGCGGAATGATCATGAATTGGCTTATCTCTGGCAAACATTCTTCAATCTACAAAAGATAGAGGAAGAAGAAGAGCAAGAGCGTTTATTGCATAATGCTGAGGCTGCTAAAGGGTCTAAAGACAAGCGAAGCAGTAAAAACGTCAACTCTTCTTCCATTTCCCATCGAGGCGCTGACGTGGAAACCGATGACGAATTAGAACAGACAGACCCTACGCCAGATGTTGATATACTTATGCAAAAGTTGAATAAAAAGTACTTGGGAGGAAGATTGCCACCAATTTTGTTGCGATGGAGTAACCGCTTAACCTACACTGCAGGCTACACCAAATTCGATGGCAAAACTGCCAGCATCGTGCTTAGCGCACCTCTCCTTTCCCTTCGATCCCGGAAGGATCTGATCGACACCCTCCTCCATGAGATGATCCACGCGCTCCTTTTCTACAAGGGAAAGCTGGACCACATCGACCACGGTCCATCGTTCATCCGCTGGATGAAGCGCGTCAACTCGCGCGCCGGCACCAGCATCACGCCGTACCACAGCTACCACGAGGAGGTGGACTTTCTGCGCCAGCACTGGTGGCGCTGTGACGGCCCGTGCACGCTGCAAGCGCCCTACTTTGGCCTGGTGCGCCGCGCCGTGGACCGCGCTCCCAGCGAGCAGGACCGCTGGTGGGCGCGCCACGCGCGCCAGTGCGGAGGAACCTTCCACAAGGTGCGCAGCGCCGTCAACGCCGGCGGCCGCCAGCAGCTCTGGACCCGGCGGCTGCTCAAGAAGCGCGTGCCACGCATCAGGTTCAAGAAGACCCTGCGCGTGTACGCCATACCGGCGAGGAAACGGCGACGAACCTCTGCTAGGAAAAGGAAACAGAGCGCACGTCGAAGATAGTAGGGATGACTGAAACATTATTTGTTAACATTTTTAAGTATTTATTTCTAATAAGATTGATTTCACATGCTGTCTTTGGACCTACCATATGTGAAGAGGCCAGCTAAACTACTGTGGTATTGCGGTATGTAGCCAGTAGGGGCGTCGCCACGGATTTTTGAGTGGGGGGTCGGGTTTCTAATCTTCACCCGATGGGTAGGGGTGTTTTTTTTTTTTTGCCACACTTCCCAGTTTTGTGCGTGCGTATGTGTGTGTGTGCGCGTGTGTAACAAATCGGCGCGCAGCGCCGCCAAATTTGGTATAACCTATTAGGTAGGTATACCTACCTACATCACTTGCGTAAAAATTATCACTGGTCACTTAAGGTCAGGTCGCCATGTCAAGTTCAGTTATACGGTATACCTCTATAAAAACTTTCCCCTCTCGCCATTCTTGTAGCTTTTCTCCCATAACTTCGAAATTTGGTACACTGTATAGGTACCTAATGTATGGGGTTATACGTGTCAGCAATTCATGATTCTAACTGATGATTTACATCTATGATCTGAAGGCAGGTCAAATACGTGACCTCATCATTAGAAAATAATGAGAAATTAGAAAAAGCACGAATGCCTCCTGCTTTGAAAAAGTTCGTCAGAAACGCAAAATATCTTTGGAGCCATGACAAATCAGCTCATCATTGCCAGGGACAGGGTGCAACTTATGGCGAGTGATGACTCGAAAGGTCATTAGTGGAAATGTCCATCGATGGCCACCAGCATTTTTTTTCTACAACTTTTGACGAAGACGCGGTAGAGCGATGACAGCACCTGGAAGGTGTTCACTGTTCAGCTTAACAACACGGATCCATTCATATGCAGCAGGAGGTCCTTTTTCGATCAGGACATAACGTTGACCTGAGGTCGTTTTAACGTTAATTCTGAATGGTCAAATTTTAACTCATGTGACGCGTCTCAAAGAGATCAAGACGGTGGTGACAAGACAACATATGTACATACCATACAAATTCACGGAATCGAAAGTTATTGCAAAGCAGATGTTTCGGCAGAATCTGTCCAGTTAGCTGTTTGCCTTCTTATGGGCCAGACATAGACCTGAGATGAAATCTAACGCGAAGCTAGCGAAAGAGCGTTAAAAGAGCTATCGAATAGTTTTCTGCTTCACTGTACCTTCTATTGGTGGTTTCCCAGTCGCTAACGTATAACGTATACTAAACTAACGCTGAGGCATGCTTTCGACCCCTGATCGATCTACAGGTTTGCGGAAAAAAGAGCATGCTGTCCGTGACGAGAGAAAGCCGATGATACCCATTTACAAGTTTTCGGGTCATCTCAGGACTCAGGTCATCGCCAATAAGTAGAGAAACTCGGGACCTGCTAGAACTTAACCAATGTAAGTTGTGATGGTTTTTCGAGGTTCTGATTACGAATGTTATCTTAGTTTTGAACGAAGATGATGACTCCATGCATTTGGGGTAGATCAGGTCAGGTCAGATCGACCAATACCTAATAGTGGATGACCACCACCGATTGCTTCCTAGCATGTTATATGAATACCTAAGCAACACAACTACTTCTTAAATGTTCAGATGGGCGCTAAGTTCAAAATCAGCTCCAAAAACTACCCTATCAATTAAAAGCACGTTATGAAAAAGTGAACTAAGGTCATCTTTATTTGAATCAGGGATATCGATTTATTTTAAGTAGGTGATTAACTCGAGCGCACCGGACGTTTTGTTGCAATCGGCTCCTTTTTGCGCGACTTCTTTGCGAAATCCCGAGACGGTTCCATCTGACTCCCTTTCCCCTACATGTGCACTGTACAGCTAGTTGTGACGGTAGCCATGGGGCTGAGGCTAGTTTGTAGTTTTGTAGTTAGGTACTGATCCGACGAATCGAGTGCGACCATTTTTTTAAAACGATCAGACGAACGCTCGGGGCAGTTTTGGCGCGTCCAATCCTTTGAGGGATAAAAAGGTATACTAGGATGGGGGCTACTTAAAAACATTGTTGTGCTGGTGTTCCCCGCCCACAGCTAATTGACCTTTAGGTAATTGGCTAATTGGCTTTAGGGAGCTCTTGAAGCGATTTTGAATCTGATGTATTTGTTGGTGTTGCTGACGCCTGCTTCACTGACATAAAAGCTAAAAAAGCATACTCAGCATCGCAAAAAGTGGGGGGTCGACACCCCCAGTTTTCAACAGTGGGGGGTCACGACCCCCCCCCCCCCACGACCCCCCGTCGGCGACGCCCCTGGGAACTGACTTGGAAGAAAATGACCGATTGCTCTGGCACTGTAGCTAATCTTCAAGAAGATGAAGAACATTTACGGCTGTGGTTAATTCAGTTCAATAAAGACATAATTCAGTTGATTAAGGACTTATAAGGACTGAATCATCTCAAAGAAAATATACTTTATCATTATTTTTCAGGATCGTGACTCTGAAAAGGATCGTGACCTGAAAACGACCATTGTAAAAATTGTAGACCTTGTCCGTGCGTACCTCACGCCGTTTACCGCTTGTTGCTATCTTGCTTCGTTCTTAAGATCTCAGGGGGCGGTCAACCGCCCCCCCCCCCCTCGGTTTTAAGTTGGCGCGGACCTCCGTCGGTGCGCAGGTTAACCCTCGCCCGTATTGGTGTTTTTCCAGCCGCGAACGTATAAGGGGGGGGGGGGTCCGTTGGACCCCCCCCCCTTGCCGTTTCGCCCCTGATCGAGCTAGAGCTTCGCAGAAAAAACGAGCGTGTTGCCCGTGACGAGAGGAAGCCGATGATACCCAATTTTAAGGTCCTAGGTCATCGGTTGACCTTCCAGGTCAGGTCAATGACCCAAATGTCGGGGAAATCGGGACCTGTTAGAAAGTCGTAAAGCGTGGCTGCTAATGGGTTTTTCGGGGTGCCGATCACGAATATCATGTTAGTTTTGATCACAGATGATGTCTTCATGCATTTAGGCCAGGTCGGGTCAGGTCAGGTCAGGTCAACCAGCCGGGTATTCCTAGTAGGTGGCAGCCGCCTCTGACAGCTTCGTAACATGTTACGAAGGTGCCAAAACTACTTCGTAAATGTTCATATGGTTGCTAAATTCGAATTCAGCTCCAAAAACTGGCCTAGAAACATGTAAAACTCGAAAAAGTGATCCGAGGTCATCAAAGGTCAATGACCTGACCTGACCTTCCGGTGACCTTGACACCCACCCTAATGCATGGGAGCAACATCATATCCCATGTTTGAACGCTTGAAACCACGAAAAGACTGCAAACGCGCGGCTAATGCGAGCCGACATACGCCGAATCGCGATTCCGGCCAAACATGGTCTCGAAAAGTAGGTCACAGGTCAAAGGTCATTAGGGTCAGGGTCATGAAAATTTCAGGGTAGGTGTAAAATTGATTAACGCGAGGGTACTGAAAGTTTCGTCGCGATCGGCCGCTTTTTACGCGAGTTATTCGCGAAAAACCGAAGGGGGGGGGTCCGTTCGACCCCCCCCCTATACGGGCGAGGGTTAACCCTCGCCGGACCTATTGGTTTTCTACATACGCGCCGGCCGAGGGGGGGGGGGCGGGTACGACCCCCCCCCCCTCGCCGTTTCGCCCCTGGTGGAGCTAGCGCGTCGCGGAAAAAAACGAGCGTGTGCGCCGTTACGAGGCTCAGAGATTGGTACCCGATTTTAAGGTCCTAGGTCAACCGGTGACCTCTGAGGTCAGGTCAAGTGCCCCAGGGTACGGTTCAGTTTTTGGTGAATAACTTCGCAAAAAACGGCCGCAGAGCCGCGATTTTGGCAGCATCGTGTTTGCCTTGCTCAGGCGCGTCGAATGATATACTTTTTATTCGGGTCAGGTCAACTTAGGGTGTTGACCTCAGGTCAAGGTCAGGTCAGCACCCCCAGGTCACGAAGTTGGTCGAAAGAGGTCATGTCGCATACCATTCGATTCGGCAGGTCTTCTTGAGTCCATTGGTGGCTTTCCCGACTCGCTAGCTCAATTTGATCGGGAGTTATTGACGAAAAACCAATATGACCTTGATGACGTCATAAATGACGTCACGGAAGGTCAACATTGCAAAAGTGACGCATCTAACCTTGCAAGGAGTGCATCAAATCACGATTCTGTGTGCTTGAGATAGTTGGAGATCATTCCCGGCGCCAGAATAGCAGTTTGAATTTTTCCCCATTGACTTATAATGGTGAGGTCACGAAAATGACCTGACCTCATATGACCTTTAGGAAAAATCCGAGATATACAAATTGTGAGGCTCATAATGGATACTAGATCCTGCAAGTTTCATTTCCCTGTGACATCTCCTCTGGCAGTGAGGGCGTTGCGAAGTTGCGACATCTGAAGACCGTGCAGAGGTTCACTTATGACGTCATAGGTCAGTGACCTGACCTGACCCAAAAATGCGGTTGGTGTCAAAAGATGCGGCTTGGATCAAAGGTCAGGTATGCAAAGTTTCAGCTCTCTATCGCCAGCGTGTTCGGAGCTATCGCGAAAAAACCCTATGGGGGGGGCGGCACCCGCCCCCCCTCGGCCGGCGAGGGTTAACTGACCCCTGAGTCTGACACTCTTGTAACATTTAGATGAAACATTTTGCACAGTCCTGACAGAGTTTATGACGAGAGACGACCAGTACGAGGTTCTAAAGTCCGAGCTACTCCAAGTCCGATATCAGGTGTTTGACCTGACCTTGAACCGAGCCTTGACATCTAAATTCAACTTTTAGCACTCGTCAGGAGCGTTTCGTCACGTTCTTTCGTTTGCCGCTTCGCCCGTTGAGCTGCGCTCTCGAGTTATCGGCTTGGGGCGTTTAACAACCCCCCCCCCCTTCCAGCAAGTGCTGTGTGGCGAAATACCCCAGCAAATGCCGGGCTAACAGTGTTCTTCTGAAAATAATGGGCAGATACAATAGCAGCTAAACACTAATGCGAGTTTAAACGTTGCTGTCATGTTTTGGTGCTCTATTTGAGCCTTTTTCGTCGTTTATGCTAATCACTGGAAGCCCAGTTTGTTGATTTTATCAAGCAATGTAGGTATATGCAACAAAATAATTGATGGCTATGCGTTCGAGCGCTGCACATCGACTCTGTTGACCTTTAACCCTCGCCCGTATAGGGGGGCCTCCCCTCGGTTTTTCACGAATAACTCGCGTAAAAAGCGGCCGATCGCGACGAAACTTTTAGTACCCTCGAGTTGATCAATTTTACACCTACCCTGAAAATTTCATGACCCTGACCCAAATGACCTTTGACCTGTGACCTACTTTTCGAGACCATGCTTGGCCGGAATCACGATTCGGCGTATGTCGGCTCGCATTAGCGGCGCGTTTGCAGTCTTTTCGTGGTTTTAAGCGTTCAAACATCTGAAATGATGTTGGTCCCATGCATTAGGGTGGGTGTCAAGGTCACCTGAAGGTCAGGTCAGGTCACTGACCTTTGATGACCTCGGTTCACTTTTTCGAGTTTTACATGTTTCTAGGCCAGTTTTTGGAGCTGAATTCGAATTTAACAACCATATGAACGTTTACGAAGTAGTTTTGGTGCCTTCGTAACATGTTACGAAGCTGTCAGAGTCGGTTGACACCTACTACGAATACCCGGCAGGACCCCTACTGGTTGACCTGACCTGACCTGACCCGACCTGGCCTAAATGCATAAAGACATCATCTGTGATCAAAACTAACATGATATTCGTGATCACTTTACAACATTCTAACAGGTCTCGATTTTCCCGACTTGTGGATCATTGACCTGACCTGAAAGGTCAACCAATGACCTAGGACCTTAAAATTGGGTATCTTCGGCTTTCTCTCGTCACGGGCAACACGCTCGTTTTTTCTGCGAAGCTCTAGCTCGATCAGGGGCGAAACGGCAAGGGGGGCCAACGGACCCCCCCCCCCTTATACGTTCGCGGCTGGAAAAACACCAATACGGGCGAGGGTTAAGCCTTTTTCAATGAGAGATGTGAAAGAACTGGGCAGAAGTTCGAGTGTGGAGAGGCTAGAATGATGACTCATACAGCCCTCTGATAGTATAGTTCGTTTTTTCTATGTTCGACCCTCACTGTAAACATCTTTTTTAACAAAGCACGAGAATTGCTAGCTGAATTACCTACTTTAAAAACTGGTTAGCGCACATTGTACTGGAGATATGAATAATATTTTCCAAATAAGTTTTTAACACCGATGATATACCATTCTGTGAAACGCCGTGCGATTTATTTATAAGTTCAATTATAATTTCTGACAAGTCGTCTTTCCCTGTGGGGTTGTATATACAGGCAAATACGAGGTAGGAGTCTGGGAAATAAGAGCCAGGAAGAAACAATTTTGAATAAGATTAATCGTCGGTGAAATCAATGTGCGCCAGTCAGTTTTCTCAGTAATTCAGCTAGCAATTCTCGTGCTGTGTTCAAAGAGACGATTACAGTGAGGGTCGAACTTAAGAAAAACGAACTATAGCTTGTGTGCTCTATCCATTTGCTAGGCGGCTGGCTTCTAATTGTTTGCAAATAATGGCGGCCATAAACAAATAAGGGAGGAAACATCACACCAAGGAGAGAAGAGCGTAACACAAACGCAAGTAGAGCAAACACAGAAGGCTAATCAACTTGAGTGTCCCCTGCAGTACAGGGTCATTGGTTAAGCCTGAGGAGTATGTCACGCAATACTAAATGCGGTTTTACTCCCCTATAGCGTTTCAATTTGATCAAGACACCGCTGAAGCCCAGCACTCACATTATCGCGTTCCTGCTAAATAGAAGTCCCTCGACAGACACGTGCATTGCCGAGTTTAGCGCATACTCGTTAGCTAACTTCCGGGAAACAAAGACGACGCAGCGTTCGGGTGATCAACTTTTGCTGGTAGCAAACAACAAACTGAACCTCATTAGCGGAGTAACGCACACAAATACCAGTACAAAGGTTGCGCGGGGGTGTCCTTAGCATGCTTCGCTATCGTTTTTTGCTAGAGTCGACTTCAATCAAGGATTGCAATTTGCATGTACTTAACGTGTGATATTAGGCTGGTTATTTATTTATATAACCGTATAAGTTGCTCCTTTGAATACCTGGCATATTGAAGTAATCGGCTACAGACCCATGAGCAGTATAAATCCACTTTACAAAAGGATTTACGACCAATGATCCATGCAAATCTGTTCATGCACGTTTAACCTCTCATTGCTGATATTCCCATCTGCGAATGTATACCTACCGTTTGATTATGTAATCTCTGGCTGCAGCAGCAAGCACATCCATGCAATTTTTACCCATACTAAATATTGTAAAATGTAAGGCATTGTAGTTGATGTTTGACATCAGGCAGGCCTACGTCAACACAAGGTCTCCAAAGGAGCAAATGTAAGACGGATTGGGTAGAAGTCTCATAACATACAATGTCCTTCCTTTCATGCCGGACAGAGCACTTGACAAAATATTGCACTTCTCCTTCAAACATCCAATGCTACCACTTCTGACGGTATGTAGAGTCGTAGTTTCTATATACTTTGGTAGGCTCCTTGCGGCTAGGTAAAGCGTATGTTTGCGTTTAATTGCCAATGGAGCTATATGAATGAATCACCAGGTAATAATGCAATAATGCCAGGCAATGCATGTTTCGTTGCAATCAATCTTAAATGCAGCTCTCAAATTAATACTCACGTAGGTTGACAGTGGAAGAATGAACGCTGCTCAGAATCAGCGTCAGACCCGCAACCAGCGGCAGCCAATATGTCATCCTGAAATCGGCCATCAGCCCGTCATCCCGGACGCTCTACAGAGCAGCAATGAGCAGAAGAGCAGGGCAACAACGCCGACAGATAAGGAGAGCATGGCTACTCGGGTGGTTAAACTCTAATTAGGCTGCAGAAATTCAATCAATATAACAATGCCAGGTTCAGTGAAGGACACCATGTCCTGACATTGCAGACTCTGTCCTCTGCTTCGAATATATGCTGCGTACTTTTGCGAAGTTACAGAAGAATTATATTTACAAGACATACGTGAACAGTTTTTACATGTTATAGCTTTTGCAGCGCTCCGCTGCTCCCTGAGTTTGGGTTCTTCCAGTCGCCGGTACTCTCACCTGTTGCCAGGGTCCCACCTGTCCAGGTCCTCACGGCGCGCGCTGTCGGCACGAAATGAACGGGCCCTCGGGCGCCGACCGGTCGGGGGCGTGTCCACCGCCGCAGCGACCAATCAGCGGCGGCCGCCGCCGGCAGGCCCCGCCCACCACAGGCAAACAGGCCGCGCTAAACAATTGAAACCTAATTGAGAAAGAAAGGTGGTAGTGTTTTGCGGAATGCATCGAACTGTGGAGTGACGATAGGTAAGGGAGCGTTGACTGTGTGGGGTGATGATTACTGCAACCAAGGCCGCTGAATTGATAAAATCCAATGCCTCTGCTAGTTGAAAAGAATGCCAGAGAATAATTGCTATGGAGCTTATCGGTGAATATCAACCATCAGCGTCAAATGGTCAAACTCATTAGCGTGCTCACTAAGCAGATAAGAGATTTTGTTTGTGATAATGTAAAATGCAGCTTTTGACTTCCATTATACAGTGAATACATGGATGCTGATCACGCTCTCATAAAAGCAAAGCGGTTCGAAGCCACTCGGACGCAAGGTCTGCAATCAGAATTCCAGTGAGGGTTACGTAACCGATAAGGATCTTCGGAGGCTTCACCTGTTGACATTCGTAAGATTCATTTTATATTGAAAATGAAGCCAAACATCAGAACACAAGCATTGTAACATTGCATCATAACAATAGTTACTTGTGTTCCGTAAAACGTCATTCGTTTTTATTCAATCGATTGCTTAAAAACACTCATTCTTGTTGTACGCCCGCGCCCCACTGCACTGGGGGGGGGGGGGGGGCTATTCATAGCCCCTTCCCATTTTTCTGCAATAACTTCCAAACCGCTTGACGTATCGACGCCAAACTTGCAGTACCTTCGGCTGCATCAATTTGACACCTTGTGTGAAAATATGAACTTCGTAGCTACCATAGGTCGGCCGAAAATGACGTCAGAGTGACGTCATGTTCGGCCGATTTTGACGCAAACATTGAACCACGGCAATCGCTCCCAAGAGCTCAGTTTTTTTAAGCTAGATCCAATTTCTTTACATGAAAAGACTCAGAATAGAATGCGCTATCAAATTGCTATCTCGGATTTTCAAAATTTTGAAAATTTCGAAATTTTATAAAATAAAATTCAAAACTTATATTTTTGTATTTTTTTTCAAAAAGTTTTTGACTTTTCGAAAAAAACGGAATATATGTGATAGACCGCATGCTTATGACTTACTCTAGCAAGTTTTAGCTAAATATCTACAAAAAAATGGCCAAGTTATACGCATTATTGCAAAAAATTCACAATTATTAATTTTTCAAATCACTTTCTAGCACAAATTTGACATCGCACACCAATATAAATAGCACCATCGTGTTTCTGAGCTCAAACTGCATCTAATGGATACCTTTTTTGTTGAAAAATTTTAACTTCAAAATTTGACCTTTTTTGACCTGAAAGTGACCTGACCTAAGCTGAATTCGACTCAAAATGACCTCAAATGACTCAGACGACATCAAATTCGAAATATATGGCCTAAATGGACCATAAAACATGTGTCACGTGACCGACGTATGATATAATATTTTCGTGACCTGTGATGACCTGACCCTGACCTGAAAATCAAAGTACAAGTTTGGTACCCTCAGTGTATCTTAAGCATCTGTTCACGAGTGTGTAAGCAAAAAATGAGCCTGATCTAACTTGTAAGACGGCGGCCAGAGCCCAAAATGTGAACAAGCCAAAATGCTAATAATTTTTACCTTGACCTGACCTGTGACGTCATCGGTGACCTCGAGGTCAATGAAATTAGGTTTCGCTCGACAGTTTTTCCGGGGCTATTAGACGCCGTTTGAATTTTGACGATCGGCTCAGTAGTTTCGGAGTTAGGAGGGGGGGCTATGAAGAGCCCCCCCCCCCGGTACGGCGTGGGTTAGGCTCTTTCGGTCTAGCGAGACTATTTCGGAGCCTGAAGGACGGCAGGAATTAGGGGGAGACATTGGTCTGGGCGGGCACCCTGGTGAGTCGAAGGGCTGAGCCCATCCAGTAGACAGACCACCCAGCGCACTGGTAAGTACTTAGTACTCACCGCACCCGGCTACGTGCCTGCTCCATATGGGGGCTACCCGCATGGGATAAAGTTGCCCGTCCAGCCCGGAGCACGGGGTGGAGGCATGGAGAAGAAGGACTTGATAATCCTGAGGATGGAAACGTCTGACCGGTGAGCATGTCAATTTCTGTGCGCTTAGGTCTACCGGTGTCAATAGCGATACCCAGTTCCAGCGCTAGGTGTCCAGTTTGTCTTGCGTAATCATGCTAATAAATTAACGCGTATCATGAGCTAAGTCTTCATGACTTTGTCTCCTTCTTTGCAATTAATGACTGGTAATTATCACTAATACTGTTACAACAGTGGGTATTATCAGTTCTAATAAACAATATACTTAATGACAGTAAAGTCGTTTAGCAGACACAGCTTTACTGTATAAAAGCCTTCTCATAGGATGCAAACATGTACATTTATTCTACGCTCGTTGTTTTTTCTGCTTGACGGAATAACTCTGCGGGCTCGAATTCGCACGGTATTGCAGAAATTTGTCCTGTAAGAGTTTTTAATGCAATAGTGACGCAGGAAATGAGAGCCCCTAATACCTCAGTCAGCTAAAGGGACGCCTTTGCTCAGTCTATAGGGCACCAGAGGGCGCCACTGGAAGACCAAGGAGGGCGCCAGACATCGGTGTTAAAATTGATGGTTTAAGAGTTGAGAATCAGGCGTATAAAAAAAAAAATGAATTAAGGACCAAAGAGATAAAATACGGTTCAGTGGCTGTATTTGGCAAAGGTGGCACAATCACACAGGTAGGTAATAGTCAGTGGGTAGGTAATGGCCGGAAATTGACGGCCCGTTGACGGCCCTAACTCCGGCGGAAGGTGGAAGCGGCTCAATATGCCACTCCACTCCAGACTGGCGGGAGGACTGGGGGAGCAGGGACCGAGAGACAGAGGCGGACAAGTGACCGATCCAGAATACCGACCACCGTCCGCCCCGCCTCCCGATCGCCTACTGCCCCCGTCCAGGCGCCGCCGGGCCGAGGTCGCCACCGATCACGTGACCGGCGCCAGGTCAGCGCGCATGCACCCCCCGTGTCACGCCGGCCGGCTGGGCCGCGGCGAGCGGCCGGGCGGGGCAGCGTCGCCGCTCAATAACACAGCGCGGTAACATAACACGACGCGACGCAAACAAATATAACTTGGGACGATAACATAAATGCAAACTTAACATACTCCCCACTCGGAAACAAATCGCATTTGTTTTCGAAACGCCGATGTCCACAACCACACAAATCACTGTCAGTCTTAACCCCACTAGGTCACTGCGTCGCTTGGTAGGAGGCGCGCCGCAGGTCGTCGGTACAATGAGCGCCGGTTGCGTCTGATCTGATGTGCCGGCACCGCAAAGTTTCGTTGCCGCCCATATTGTCGGGACGTGGTAAACCGTCGACTGGAAGATGACCGGCGCGCTCGCAGTCTGAAGCCCCAGTGGAAGGCGAGGGCGGCTCAAAATGCCGACCCTACTCCCGACTGGCGAGGAAGCTCATGTGGGAGTCTCAAGCCACTGAGTCGCCCAGTCGGAGATGAACCGCAGGCTGTCGGCGCTGAACACCGGGCGGCGTCTGGCGAGCCGGTACTGCGGGTCCTCACCGACGCCTCACCGCCATCCGGCGGAACCAGGACTGGGTTTCCTTCATCTCTTGGTTGAAAATGTTGAAGAGGTCAACGTTCTGATGGCAGAGTTAAATTCATCGTGAGTATGATGTACGGGCAGAGCACAAACACATCCACACACGCACACAACCAAACACACAGATCACACAGTAGTAAGCGTGGAGCTATAACAAAGGCAGATAAGGCCAAGAAGAAGTTTGTGCTCATGATGCATATGCTGGTGGTGATGCCGTGGTGAATGGCGAGTGCTGTGAAAAATGTCGGTAAAGATGAATCGTGCTACTAGTCTCCGTATGACTAGTTTGATGAGACGTCAGATTAGTCAGGCTCAATGTTGTGGCGGTGCAGTCTGCTGACGGATCGTTGTGGTCCCGTTTCCATCATCTGACGGCAGCTCTTCCAGGTGTCAGTCTGGTATGCCGTTTCCCTGCTTGGGAACTGAGTGTCACAGCCACCAGTTGTCACGGCCGGTTTTTGTCCGGTTGCAGGTAGGTGTTGTGCAAGACTCTGTCCGGTGATGTCTTCCACAGATCCTTCAAGTACGTCACGTAGCTTCCTCTTTTTCCTACTTTCATGGTGAGGAGGGAAGAGGGCGGCATCATCATTCAGGTTGGTGGAGTATCCAATGGCCGGTATGCCAATGGAGCGGTCTCCTCCACCATGTTCAGAGGTGGGTTGGAGGGCGGTATCCTCCACATTCGATGTCGGTTTCGGTGGTTTGGTTGCTGTTTCTTCGATGACAGCATCGCTCCGCGTCTCGGATTTGGGTGGCTGGCTGGTTTCAAGCTTCCGTTTCGGCATCATCATCTGGTGAGTGGACCGGTTGGCAGAGCTGGCTACTGATTGACAGTACAACTCCTGCACAAGATTCGTCTTGCACCGCTGTGCGGTGTCGTTACAGGAGGGTTCGGTCACTGGGAGGCCGTCTCGGTTCACAGCTTCTTGGTCTGAGACCTCCATCAGGTTGAGGCTACACATGTCATCACTTCTGCGACTGTGGAATGTGTGGTGGGTCGGCACATCATCAGGTCGGTATCCTGATGTGGTGGTAAGTGATGGTCGTTGCGTGGTGGCACTCCCCACGTAGTCAGGTCGGTATCCTGACGACGCAGTGAATGGTGGTGGCAGATTCGGTGCCTCAGGCGCAGGCCTGGTCGGTTGGTGCTGGGTTGGATGGTGGAGCGATGAGTGGTGAGGCTCCCCACAGGACGAACATGGATGGCTCATACAGGACCGAACCCTGTGAGGGCCCAGGCACTGGTAGCAAACACCAGTTTTGCCCACTGTCCTCCATCGGTCGTCGACTGTCATGGCTCTGTATGCCAGGCATTGGTTCAGTCCATGCTGTCCTCGGCCACACGCTCCACAGGTCCATGATTTGGCCTGTTTCGCCAGTGTCTGCCGCTGGATG